CAACCCGATCGAGGGAGCATCCGCTGCGCCCCCCGCCAGCCGCGCCCGAGCGCCGCCCCGCGCGACGCCCGCGCGCAGCAGCACCGCCCCTGGCCCGCGCCCGCGGAGGACACGCCGACGACTCCTGGCAGCTCGAGGCCGCCGCACCCCTCATTCCCTTACTTTTCCTCCTCCATCTCCACCTCCAACACCTTCTCCTCCTCCTTCTCCTCCTCTTCCTCCTCCTTCTCCTCAACGCCTCTGGTGGCGAAAGTGGTAGAGGATTACTGCGCCACCCAGGGGTCACCCTCCTCCTCCTCCTCCTCCTCCTACTCCTCCTCCTCCCCTCCTCTTGCCCCTCTCCCCCCTCCCCCCTCCTCCCCCTCCTCCTCCCCTCCTCCAACGCCTCCTCCTCCTCCTCCTCCTCCTCCTCCTCCTCCTCCTCTTTCTCCTCCTCCTCTCTCCATCTGCCCCGTTCCCCCTCGGAGCCAGTTGAGGGTCTGAGGCGGCCAAGCCGTCGGTGTTGGCCAGGAGGACGGCGGGGCGAGGTTCGAGGCCTAGGGTGTGGCGCTGTTTTTGCGTTTTCGGCCTCGGAGGGCTGGGCACTGGGATTGTAAAAAACGGATCCGGGGTGAACAAGTGCACCATGTGGACCCTTGGAGGGGTCCAGGGGCCGATTTTGAGCGGATTTGCCCAGTCTTGGCTTCGAGCAGTGGCGAAGCGTTCTGACGTGCTTATAGGTCCTCCAAACAGTTTTCTGAGCACATTCAGTGGTTTGCCCGACATGGTCTTAGAACCGTTCTGGCCGCGACAGTCGTGTTGCGATTGTAACACATCGCATTCATGGTCCACGAACGTTGCGTGCTTCCTCAGAGCATTTTGTGGGTTCTACAAGTGTGTTGTGGCAGGACTGCAGGCATGCCAGGATGGTAGAGGTTCCTGCCCGATGTTTGCTCGCCTTCGCCGCGGGCGATCCTTCCCCACAGACCCGCAGCCCGTTTGGCTCAAGGCCGCCGCGGCCGACCCGAGCACGGCGCGCGAGCGTGGAGCCGCGGAGCCGCGGGCGTTCCGTCCTCGGCCCCCGCCCTCGGCGCTCCGTGGCCCTCCTGCCTCCGCCCTCCGCTCTCGCTTGCCCTCGCCGCCCATGGCGGAGCGGCCCTCCTCCCTCCTCCTCCCTCCTCCCTCCTCCCTCCTCCCTCCTGCCTCCGTCCTCCGCTCCCGTTTGGCGCTCTCCTTCCTCCCTCCTCCTCCGCCCTCCTGCCTCCGCCCTCGCCGCCCATGGCGGAGCGGCCCCGCTACACGCCCTTCTCCACGGCGTTCTGGGCCGCGGACAGGCCGGCGTGGCTGGCGCTGCCGCTGCTGCTGCCGGCGAAGGGGGCGGAGGAGCTGCTCTCGATGGAGGCCGCGCTGGTCGGGGCCAGGGTCGCGGAGCTGGCGACCACGCTGTACAGGGAAGGCAGCCTGCCCGGGCTGAGCACCTGGCAGTTCGAGGAGTGCCCCGAGTTCGCCGACGGCATCGCGCTCTGGCGCCAGGCCATGGCGGAGGAGACCTGCGCCGCGTTCACGCGGAAGCTCCAGGAGGCCGCGAGGCTGGCTCGCGAGGGAATCGCCCAGATAGGCAACCTGGCCCCGAAGCTGGCCATGACGCGCTGGGGCATCGTCATTGTCTGGGTCGCGGCGCGCGCGGCGCTGGTGGCCCAGTCGTCCGTGGCGGGGTGCGTACAGGGCCTCCCCGCTCCGGCGGCCAGCGCCAGGGTGTGCCGCGACTCCAAGCGGGCGGTCTTCGAGCTGCTGCAGGAGGTGATCGCCGACAGCAGGGTCTCGCCCATGTACGACTTCGATCTGCTGGGACCCGGCGTCTGGCGGGGCGGCGGCAGGGTGAGCTTGGCGGAGGAGGCCGAGAACGAGTGGTACCGGCGCGGGTCCGAGCTCGACATCGGCGTGATGTGCCACCAGGCGTGTCAATTGCCACCCGAGGACCTGAACGGCTGGAGGCCCGTGGTCGCGCTGACTCAGGAGGCCGGCGCCCCGGAGTGGCGTCTGCCGCCGCAGGACGCGCCGAGGTTTGTCCTCGAGAAGCACGAGTGGCTGTGCGTGGTGGAACCAACGCCACTGGACGCCGACGGGAAGCTTCTCCTCGGCGGTACAAAGGTGCTGCAGATGGCGTTGCCCCCGCCCCCAGAGCACGACCTGGACGACCCGGAGGTGATCGCGAAGATCCAGCGCGGCGAGGAACTCGGCAAGAAGCACCAGGCCGACGGCCTCCCCGGGGCCCTGCACGGCAGCGTCGGCCTGCTGTACGCGGGGTTGTGCGCCACGGAGGGCGTAGGGCACCTGGCGATGAACGCGGGGATCCTGGGCCTCGAGGGGCTCCTCGACGGCCTCCTGCGCTACGGCCCGCCCGTGCAGTCGCTGTCACTCGCCGACTGCCCCAAGCTGGTCGACCGGGCGCTCCTGGAGGAGACCCTGCCGCTGGCGGGGGCGGGCCTGCAGGTCCTGGACCTCGAGAGGTGTGCGCTCGATTTCGAGCACGCCGACTGGCTGGTGGAGTGCGCGCACAGGCTGCCAGGCCTCCGCCGCCTGGACCTGGCAGGCAACGAGCTCGACGGCGACGCCGCGGTTGACCTGCTGGAGGGGCTCTGTGAGAAGTGTGCGGCACTGACCACACTGCGCCTGGACAGCAACCCGGTGGGCCTCGACCGGGAGGACTTCCGCGCCACGGTCGCGGGGCTCCTCGCCAGGCGCGGGGCGCAGGTGGTGGCCGGGGGCACCATCAACTTCGTGTACGGCACGGACTCCGTGGTCTGGTCCCCCCAGCTGAAGCCTGATCCGCCCACCGGGGTCGGCATGGGCATGGTGGAGAGGACGGTGGAGGAGCAGGAGGAGCGCCTGGCGCGGCTCCAGCAGGAGACGGAGGCCCTCTTCGCGGACAAGACCGTGAAGGGCGAGCGCTTTGCCGTGGCGAAGGAGACGCACGAGCGGCGCGTGCAGAGGCTCGCGCAGAGGACCGAGGGGGCCAAGCAGTACCTGCGCGTCGACTACGACGCGCCCGCGAAGGCGCCGCTGCCGGAGAGCCACAGCCGGAGGGGCGCCGACGCCGTCCGGGAGCAGAGCCGCCCAGACTGGATGGCGGAGCTCTGAGGGTCGCGCCGCCGTGGGCGGGGGCCGGCGCCCGAAGCGCGGCGGCCGGCCCAGAACCTCGGCGGCAGCCAGAGGCCCGCGCCCCAGAGGAGCAATTGTGTCTGTGTGTTTTTGTCCCCCAGAGGGGACAAAAACACACAGACACAATTCATCGTCGATTCCCAGGAACATATATGGGAGAATACGGGAAGTGGGGGCGCGCGAATTGCTCGGATCGGTGCTCGTCCCCCTTAGTTCAGGAGGGGAAGAAACACACAGACACAATTGATCGTCGACCCCCAAGAATGCACGGGAAAATATAGGAATTGGGCGGGAAGACAAAAGCCCAGAAAATATAAGAAAATATGGGGCATCATTTTATTTGTGCGCATTTATTTGTGTGTCCTTGGGACCCTTGATTGTTGTTCTACGATATTCGTCCCTTCTTCCTTCTCCTCCGCAGTTGTTTTCCAGATCCACGTTCGGATGATCGCAGCGTCGTCTTGATGGATCCAGTTCCGTCCGGTCATGCCTCTCTCATCGCTAGCTCAATTTCTCGCTTCGGCGGCGGCGTACTATCATTATTGAGCTATCGGGTGGCTGCTGGTTGAAAGACGATCTACGTATGGAATGTATATGTGCTGCACGCTTCTGGGGGTGGGAAATTCATTTTTCCCGCCTATATGTACTCATACTCCGATGCAATCAGAGCGCGCATATACAAAGGCTGGGGATGTCGAAGACGCCTACGGTAAATCACTGCTGCTCCTCGTTTATCTTGACATGCCGATATGGCCAAATGTTGGGCCAAAGCTTGGTCTAGCTGATGGAAGGTGTTCTCCGCCAGCCGTGGTGGAAGCTCAGGAAACACTTGGGAAATGAAGAGAGAAGAGGAGGGGAGGGAGGAATCGGAGGAGGAGGAGGAGGACTTCGAAGAGGCCTATGCTAGACGCTTCGCGTACCCCCACCATCCCATGCAGACACGATGCCCATCCGAGTTGCCCTGATCGGGCATGTGGGTGAGCTCGCAGTATACTGGAGGCTGGGAAGCCATCCTTCTCCAAGAAGGGGAGGATACAGGAGGCACCAGAGGAGGAGGAGAAGGGGGCGGAGGAGGAGGAGGAGGACCAGTGTAAACCCAAGTCTCACCAACCACGCTGGAATAGACCCACCCGCCAAGCTCCCTCTTCATATACCCCCATCGAAGAGTTCATTTCCACTGAGGGAATTGCCCCGTTGGTGGACAACCGTGCGCGAATCCTGAAGCGTGCTGAAACACCATTCTCAAGATTTCAACGCCACAAGGTATTCAGATTGTTGCGTCTTGGCGATCCTGAATCGTTCCAGAACGCCACTCCTGGGATTCAACACCGCTAATCAATGCAACTGCTGCGCCCCGATAGCCCTGAACCGTTCCAAACCATCATCTTTGATCCATTAAACATGAACGTCCGTGGACCTCTTGCAGGATTTTACAACGAATGCGCGCGGCCCTAAGTCGAGAGCCACGTTTTGTGAAAGGAACCGCCCTCAATCCGTGAAGTTGTTGCGAATGTTTCCGACGACGATGCGCGGCGCCAAGGCGACAGCCACATTTTGAGAACCGCCCGCCCTCAATCCGTGAAATTCTTGCCAACCTTCTAAATGAATGTGAGCCGCGCTAAGTCGAGAACCACATTCTGAAAACCGTTCGCCCTCCGTCCGTGAAGCTCTTGCATTTCATTGAAACGAATGTGCGCGGCGTGAAGATGGGAGCCATTGTTTGAACACCACCCGCCCTCAATCCGTGACACATTTGCAAATGGTGCAACGAATGTGCGCGGTGCTAAGGCAAGAGCCACATTTTGAAAACCACCCGCCCTCAAACCGTGAAACACTTACAAATGTTTGAAACGAATGTGCGCGGCGCCAAGGCGAGAGCCATAGTGTTTTAGCTTCAGGCTCATACATGGCCAGGAAGACTCAGGCGAAACGCCTGGCCCGCCCTCACGACTGGCTTCGGGGTGCGACAGGGAGGAAGCATTCATAAGGAACAGGAATGAAGAGGAGGAGGAGGAGGAAGAGGAGGAGGAAGAGGAGGAGGAGGAGGAGGAGGAGAACGGGAAGAAGGAGAAGGAAGAGAAGGAGGAGGAGGAGGGGGAGGAGGAGGAGGAGGATTGTGGCTGCGTCCGGCGAACCAATACCACCAGGAACCAGGAACCAGGCGGAAGAAGAAGAGGAGGAGGAGGAGGATGAGGAGGAGGGAGGATGGAGGAGGGAGGAGGAGGATTAGGCGGATGAGGACGAAGAGGAGGAGGAGGAGGAGGAGGAGGAGGAGAAGGGCGAATAGAGAGACCAGAAGCCCATTGGATGCATCTCGGAGTCTCTTCAGATGTCCTTCGAGAGCTTCTTGTAGGCCTGTTGGGGCGTCTTGGGAGCCTTTTGGGGGCCTCTTGGTGGCCACAGGGGCCTCTTGAGGCCTCTTGGGGGCATCTTGGGGTCTCGTGAGGCCTCCTGGGCGCCTCTTACGGCCCTCTTGGAGCGCTCTCGGGAACCTCGGGGGGGGCATCTTGCGGTCATCTTACAGGCGATCTGTCAAAGAAAGGGGTGTACTTAATTCTAGACGCTTCGCGTATCCCCACCAAGGGACGCTGTCGTGAGCCGCCTGATCCGCGGCCCTGCGCGCGTTAGGTAATTTAGTCGCGTCCGCGGCCCGTTCGCGACCTTCCGCCGCTGGCGCTTCCGCCTGCGGCTGTAAAAAATAAATCACAAAAAAAGTATCCCCACCAACGTGGTTCAGCCTTCTTGTTCAGCCATGTGAGTTTGTCTATGTTGACATGCAGCCTAGTACGCGCAGCCCCGCGCTTTGCCGCGTTCGGTGGCACGTCTACCTCTGGCGCCTGGCGCGACAAGGTACAATTCATTCGTCTTCCCGGTGGTCTCGCCCCTGAGATGGCTGCGTGTCGCCGCCCGGCTCTCCTGGCAGCTCCCGCGGCCGGCCTTCAGCCCCCGGCGCCACTCTGCATCCCTCGGCGGCAGCCTTGGCAGCCGTGAGTGCGCTCGCGGGGTAATTATCAGGAGGAGAAAAAAACACACAGACACAGTTAATCGTCGCTTCCCTAGAAAATATGTGGAAGTATGGGCAGTGGGGGGGGAGACAGGAACCCAGAAAACATAGGAAAATATGGGGGATCGTTTTATTTGGGTGTGTTTATTTGTGTGTGTGTGTGTGTGTCCCAGGGCCCCTTCAAATTAGGCTCCGCCCGCAGCCCGGGTCGACCTTTGACGCCGCCTGCGCCTGCGCTTGCGGCTGCGACCACAAAGGATCCCCACCAGCCTGCTCTTGCTCGCCCGGCGTTCGACCCGTTTCGCGCGCCCGCGTTCCAAACAAGTATCCCCGCCAGCCCATCCAGAAACGATGTCCAGGCGAGTTGAGGTGATCAGCGGGGTGCGTGAGCAAAGAGGTGGACGGCCGAACCGTGCAAAGGAGGGAGGAGGAGAAGGAGGAGGGTGGGCGGATGGATGCGGGAGTGGGGAGAAGGAATACGAATATAATGGTGCTGATGATGATGATGATGATGATGATGATGATGATGATGATGATGATGATGATGATGATGATGATGATGATGATGATGATGATGATGATGATGATGATGATGATTGATTGGCTGGGCTGTACGCGGACCTGGAGCTCGACTGGAATCGCGGATTGAGGAAGCAGCGAGCGCGGCCAAAGGGCAGCGCAGACTACGTTAAAGCGGCTGGCATCTGCCGCCTGCTTGCCTCGCAGCCGCCTCGCGGAGGAGGGAGGGCGCTCAGCCGGTTTGGGACACGCGCTGAATTCATGACACAAACGCCGCCACATTTTCGGTTGGGCGGCGATGTATTCCTTCCGTGCTCCTGGAAAGGCGAATTGGTCCCCCAAGACCGCTAAACAGTCAAAGTGAAACCGCTGAATATGTCTCAAATCAAGCAATAGCTCAAACGCGGACGGGGGCTTCGGAATCGCAGAAATACAATTAACCACTAGCGGAGGAGCAGACATCTGCGAACAGAGGCCGGCGAGCCTACGAGCTCGGACCAACGAGTGCAACGAAGGGGCAGACAGGGCCTCGCGGACAGCAGCGTCGGTGATGGTGTCGGGGGCGCCGTACCTCATGGTGCCGTTGATCCTGCGCAGGACGCGGTGGTACTGGGCCTCGAGCGGCTGCCAGCCTTTGTCCAGCTGCCCCCTCCAGGCAGCAACAGCGTAGAGGGCGCGCGAGAGGATCAAGGACTGCGCGAGCATGAGCTTCGTGCGTAGCTGGATGTGCGAGGAGCCGAAGATCGGCACCGCCAGCGGCGCGAAGGACTGCTGGGCCTTGGTGGCCTTGCGGCGCCCGTCGGCCTGGTGCCCGCCAGCGTCTTGTAGTATGGTCCCAAGATGTTAGAAATGATGAACCACTTGAAGGACGTTGCCGTGCTGTGTGACGAACTCCTCCTTACCTTGACGCAGTAAACGCTCTTGGCGGAGCGTGCGAGAGCGTGGGCCGAAGAGCTTCACCATTGCTGCCGATTTGCCAGGGCCGAAATTGATGGTGAGGCCAATCCTGCGGAACTCTTCTACAATAGTATCAGTAGCTCTATCCAATTGCTGGAGGACCTGCTCGGTGCGACCCTCTTGCTGCTGCTGGAACATGAAGACCGCGCCGTCCACGTACTCGGCGTCATTCGGCGTGTTGGTAGTCTCGTGCAGGTTGGGTTTATCATCGAGGATTGTACCCCAAGGTGCAGCGAGCACGGCCGGCGCGAGCAGCTGCAGGACGACGCCCTCTTCGGTGAAACGGCGTCTCGCGCGCCCGAGGCCCAGCCCGTAGCCGAGGTTGAAGCATAGGGCGCCCAACCTGCATCCCTGGCGGGCTCCGCGCCGAGCGAGTACAACATCATCTCCGTCGCCCCGGACTGCAAACCACGTGCCGGTGTGCCAATCGGCCACCCGGCGCACGTCGTCTCCATGTAGGCCTGCTTGTTGGAGGAGAGGCGGGTGATGCTGAAGGTAGGTTTGTGCTTCGCGGGCAACCTCAGGAGGCATGCCAGCACGCTGAAGATCTTCGGCGAGCGCGGGAAGGTGTAGTTGATCAGCTCCGTGCAAGTACTCGCGGATGATGGAATCGAAGGCCTTGGCAAAGTCAAGAAAAAGTAATGCCCATGACGTGCGCGCGGCAAGGCTTCTCTCGACAAACGTTTGCAGCGCAGTAGTGAGGAGATTGGCATCTCTTCCTGGTACAGAGCCGCACTGTGCAGGGCTAAGAAAGTCGTGGACATGTTGGAAGACGGGCTCGGCGATTGATACGCAGTACCACTTCGAGAGATGATCTGAAACGAGGATCCCGCGGCTGGAGTCGCAGTTCGCGGGGTCGCCTTTCTGCTTCCAGATGTCGAACAGCTTGCCGCCCTTCATGGCCGCCGGAGCCGTCGCCGCCGAGGTGGCCAAGTTGAACAGGGGCATGACTACGTCAAGCGCGCCCTCTCTCCCAGCGCGCCACACCTCAGCGCCAATGCCATCTGGCCCAAGACCCTTCTTAGGATGAACCCACGAAAGCTGCCGCCATACGGAACTGCGGTCAAGTGGTTCAGAAGGTTGGTGAAGTGCTGGACGCGGGCATTGCTGCACGTGGGCAGCGACCTCGCTCATCGGGAGAATCTGGCCGGCGAACAAGGACACCCAGTGGCGCTTCCACCTTGAGGAGATCTGACCAGGATCGCACAGCGAGCGGCCCTGCTCGTCGTTGACCTTCGCGTGCTTCTGGAAACCCCGGGGCGTCCGAATCTGACGGGCGCTGCCGAACAGAGCCTTGGTGTTGCCATCTCGGTCTGCGACGTCCGCCTGCCTTGCCAGGCCCTCTGCCCAGGTCTGCCGATCGGCCCGAGTTAGCGCCCTCGTGGCATTGCGGTGCGCCGACAGGGAGGCAGAGGACTGAGTCGCCCTCCTGCGGGCGGCCGCGATGGACCCACGTAGAGCGGCATACTCGGGCGAAGCAGGACTGCGCAGATGACCTGCCCATGCTTGAAACCCTCTTTGGAGTGGGAGGCGCTGTGCCTGCTGCCAGCTCCAGACTGCCAAGTTCCTGATGCCCGGGGTGTTCTTGATGAGAGCCCAGCTCGTCGAAGAGATCCAAGGCTTCTTGGGAACTTGTGACGCCGGCGCGAAAAAGTGCTTGCGTTGGAGGTCCTGGACGTGCTCGATCATCTGAGCGTGGTAGACGTCGGGGCCCTGAGTGACGTTGTGCTGGGGCTCGTCCGCGAGGGCGAACATGTCCGTTTCGAGGGCCTGGCGTATTTTGGGGTCGTGCAACTTCTCCGATGACATCTTGGGGCTGGGCGCAGGCTTCGGACCCAGCGACTGGTCCAAGGCGACCGTGGCCTTGACTACCCGGTGGTCCTCTCGTTCGGAGAAGCACAGCGAATCCTGCAGGACGCTCGTGGCGTGCAGCTTGCGGTGCCAGCGGGGGCCGAGCCAGACATGGTCGCTGCGCTTCTCGTGGCCCGGGATCCCGAACCAGGTGGGCTCAATTGTGCCGCTTAGCTCGGCGGCATCCTGGAGGTCGTGCGCCAGGCGGCACTCGAGGGCGAACTGGTAGTTGGAGTTGACTCCGGCCGCCTCGTCGTCATCGTTGCCATCAATGAAGACGATTAGGGCGCGCTTGTGCAGTGCAGCGGCCAATTCTTTCTGGAGGGATGCCCAGAAGGCTCGCTCCTCTTCCGCGCGCGCTGATGCCACCGGGGCGTGCGCCGAGATGGCTGTCAACGTGAGGCCTGCTGCAGAGAACTCCGTGCGTAGCAGACGGGGGCTGACTGCATTCGCAGCCGCCGTGCTGGCCAGGACCTTGAGGTCCTTATGAGGCCAGATCTGCACTCCCCCCAACCCGTCGTCAGTGGAGGGGGCGGAGAAGGTGAAGTAATGGTCCAGATCTTGACAACCAGAATCGGGAAGTCGCGACTCCTGGACGCCTGCCAACTGAATGTGATGCTTGTTGAAGAAGTCCTCAACGTAGTGCGTGCGAGCGGTGACGCTCTCGCCGATGCGGCGTAGCTGCCGGCGCTCCTTCGGATCCAGTGTCTGGACATTGAAGGTGGCAAGAATGAGCTGGGCTCCGTTGCGAGCTCTCTTCTTGCAATGTCTCTTCCACCTCGAAGGAACACTGTTGTAAATTTGGAGATCTTGATGGTGAAACCCGAGGTCGGGAATGTAGTGGTACTGGTTCGCCTCCATGGCGAAGTTCACCCGTCGCTTTTCGCGACCACGTCGGCAAAAGACACCTGTGGGCGGGCTGATGCTGATCTCCGTGCTGCTGACGATGGTGGCGTTTCGGGATATGGCGAGTACCTCTGCTCGCGGCCCTGGCTCCGCGGGCGCGGAAGGGGCCATCTTTGCGGGGTCCGGGATCCCGCTGGAGAGGTTGAAGTAATTGGTGAGGGTCTGCTGCTTCTTCTTCTTCTTCTTCTCCTGCGGCTGTAGGGGTTGCTTGCCCACGTGGCGGTGGGTGAGCGGGACCCCGGGGGCGCTCGTGTCCTCCCCTGGCACTGGAGGGCTCTTCGCCGAGTGGCGCCGCGGCACGTTCATGCCGCCCGCCTCCTTGGCAGCGTGCTGGGCCAGGGAAGCCTCGAAGCGCAGAAAAAGGTCCCGACTGCGGGCCTCGGCGTCGGCGATGGCGTCGGGATGCGTGCCCCCGACCTTGGACAGCTGCTGGCAGGCCGCCTCCAACTGCGACTTAAGTGCGGCGAGGCCCTCCTCTTGAACGGGAGCCTCGGAGATGGCCTGCTGGAGGTCGGCGAGCTCCTGCGCCAGGCGGAGCTCCTCCTTCTCGGCGGCCTGGACGGCGGCTTCCGTGAGGCGTAGGGCCTCTCGGGCTTGCTGGGGGCGCTTCTTGGCCCTCTCGAGCGCGGCCTTGCAGTGGTCCCTGCGCTGGCCCAGGGGCTTGTCCGAGATGATCGCCTGCTTGTGGCTGGCAATCTCCTGGTTGATCGAATCCCTCAGGGCCGCATGCTCGGCGCCGTGGAGGGTGGCCAACGCTGCTTCCAACTGCTTGATGGCGGTCTGGCGCTGGTTCCTGGTCATGTCGGGGGCCTCGTTCGAGGGGCTTTGGACCGATGAAGACGAAGGGACCTCCGTCTCGCCCTGCGGGGAGGCCAGCTTGAGCATCGAGGCAACCTCCGAGAGCTGTGCTGCCACCCCAGCTGCTGGAGAGCCTGACGGTGGCGTTCCCGTGGAAGCCGATGCAGGGACGAACGACTTCCTCACGCCGCACACTGAGCACTTGGTCTTGGGGCACCAGTTGGTGGAATGGCAGACCTTGCACTCCCACGTTCGAGACGACTGCTGCGGGTGCCAATGCCGGGTGCCCTTGCTTCAGGATCCGTCGGCGTGCTGCTGCCAGCCCTGCTGAGCCCAATCTCTGCCATGTGACGTCATCCGGGCCTGCGAGGAGCTTCCCGCGGAGGCAGGGCTGCAGAAAGAATGCAACGTGGAATATGAAAGCGACGAGTCGCGCAAACATGAAAAGGCGGGCCTGTAGGCTTACTCTCCGGCTCAGACCGACACACGGCTTGAGCCAAAATGGTGATGATGGGGATGATGGTGATGATGATGATGCTGATGATGCTGATGATGATGATGATGATGATGGTGATGGTGATGGTGATGGTGATGGTGAGGATGAGGATGAGCATGAGGATGAGGATGAGGCTGAGGATGGGGGATGAGGATGATGATGAGGATGATGATGATGAGGATGAGGATGAGGATGAGGATGAGGAAGAGGATGATGATGATGATTATGTTGATGATGATGATGATGATGATGATCATGATGCTGATGTTGATGCTGATGCTGATGTTGATGCTGACGCTGATGATGATGATGATGATGATGATGATGATGAGGAGGAGGAGGAGGAGGAGGAGGAGGATGGTGAGGAGGAGGAGGAGGAAGAGAAGGAGTAGGAGGAGGAAGGAGGAGCAGGAGGAGGAGGGCAAGCAAAAGGGCCAGAGGTCTCTTGGATGCCTCTCGGAGCCTCTTGTGATATCTCTTGGGCGCTTCTTGGAGGCCAATTGGGCCGTCTTGGGGGTCTCTCGGCAGTCCTGGGGGACTCTTGGGCGTCTTGGGTGCCTCGGGGGGGCATCTTGGGACCGCTTGGGGTCCTCTTGGGGGCCTCCTGGGGGCCTCTTGGGGTCATCTTGGAGCCATCTTGGGTCCATCTTGGGGCCTCTTGGGGCCTCCTGGGCGCCTCTTGGGGCCTTCCTGGGGGAGATCGATCGAACCATAGGGGTTTCTCAATTAGTCCTGCCCCTCGAGAGCCCCAAATTCGCATCTTGGTGCGTTCTTGGGGCGCTCTTGGAGCGCTCGTGGGCGCTCTTGGGGCCGTCGTGGGGCTCTCGTTGGCGCCTCTTGGGGACTTTTCGGGCCATCCTGGAGCCAACCTCGGATGATCATCGGATGCGAAATTGCAAGAAAGCCAGAACCATTGTTTTGTCCTTGGTTTTTGAAGGATGTTGACCCCTTGGGGATATCCTTAGGGGGCGTTTTTTTTGCACTTGGGGCCGTCTTTGGGCGGTGTTGGGCCTCTTGGAGCATCTTGGGAGCCATTTTGAAGCAGCTCGCGATATCTTGAGCCATCTTGGAGCTCATCTTGGGCTCTCCAAGGCCCTCTTGGAGCCGTCTTGGGACTTCTTAGACGCTCTGACACCGCGAAACCCTCCGTCCATGCCCAGGGGAGGGGGTAGGGGGAGGGGTCAAGCTACCCACTCGCCCGCAAGCCGTCTTGCTCACTCCCACCCGCCCTCCCAACACAAAAAGTAAAACCCCAGCCTGAGCATCTTCAGCTGTCTTCTTTCGATGGACAGCTACTGGGAACCAAGACCGAACCCATGTGCACGACGCTGGGGCGAGGTGCGCCACCCGTGCCAGGCGCGCCACGCGCGCCCGGCACCCCTGGGGCCCGAGCGTGCCAGACACGCCTGGTGCGGCAGATGCGCCACGAGCCTCCGCGTGCGCCAGGTGTGCCGCATGCTTCAGCCCGCCAGGTGCGCCACGTTCGGGGCACGTGCAGCGTGTGTCAGGCTCGCCTGCGCACGTGACACCACACACCGGGAAACATGTCGGCCCCCACCATCCATGTCGAAAGCCATTGCCCATCATTGTGTCTGGTGGGCCTGCGCACAGCAGGCCATACAGTCGGGGCCCTGAAGAAGGAACCCTTTTCGTTGGGGAGGGGCTCCGTGTTCCTTGATTGTTTCGCAGTTTGCCGTGGGTTTTCCTTAGGTTTTCGATCTGAAATCGAAGTTTAACTTATGGAAAATAGGGGCCTCGTTCCTTATCTAGGGTTCCTTAGGTCAACGCCCCGACTGTACGCCACCACTTGACAGTGATCGCGGGGCGGCCGCGCGTGATCCAGACTGAGCCGCGAGGTGATTTTTGTTTGTTGGCTAGAGGTGGTCGCCCTGCGCAAAACAGGCAATATGCTGACACACCCGCCGACCTTACAAGTGCTCGCGGGCCTCACTGACATGCCCCCCACACTTTGCCCCAAAGTGAATGTTGTACTGTCTTTGACGGGGATGGTGGGGCGGGGCGCATCGGGTTGGCAGCGCATGCTCCAAATTTTGAGGCAGAGAACGTTTTGTATTGTTTCTTGACAGGGATGGTGGGGGGTGCCCGCATGGTTCCTGGTTGGCCGCCGGTCGCCTGGGGGAGGAGGTTTATGTGAATAGGGAGCAGTGATGAACCCCTCCCCGAAGGGGAAGAAAGGGGGTGGAAAAGGAAACGCTCTAGACCACGTACGCCCAGAGGTACGCCCAGAGGGCTGGTGGGATTAGCCCCACCAAAGGAAGCCCAACTTGGCCCAAAACCTTTCTTCCTAAAACCAATGATTTAGAACTTCTCGCCGAGGCCTTTTTGGACGCTCTGACACCTCGCGGGGCGCCCCGTCCAGGGCTACGGGGGAGGGAGAGCGGTAAACACCTCCCTGAACGGGGAAGAGGGAGGACGGAAGATGAAACGCTCTAAACCGTTCACGCCCTTAACAGCTGGTGGGATTGAGGCCCTCTTGGGGCCTCTTGGGGGCGACCTGAGGCCCTCTTGAGGGCCTGTGGGGGGCCTGTTAGGCGCTTCGTGGGGCCTCTTTGGGGCCTTCTCTGGCGGCCTCTAATGTCTAAGAGGCCGCTTTGTCTCCGGAGGCCGTTTTCGGGCCGTTTCGGTACCCTCTTGGGACGCTTTCGGGCTGTGACGGATACCTCTGGGGCTGCCTTGGGGGTCGTCGAGGGGCCCTCTTGGCCCGTCTCGGGACCCTCTTGGAGGCTCACAGGGCAGTCTTGGAGCTATCTTGGAGACCTCTGTGGCCGTCTTGGGCCGTCGGAAGCCTGGAAGGGCGGGGACGTCTTACGTAACAGCATGAGAAAACTGATTTGGTCCCTTTCGGGCTTTCCTGGAGGGCCGCTTGGAGCCCTCTTGGGCAGTATCGGGGGCGTCTTGCGCCGTCTTGCGGTTATACTGAGTAGTCGTGGTTCAACTGGTGCCGTTGTCTTTGGGCCATAGTGGACGCCTTGGAGACCATTTTGGGCCGTCGGCAATCTTGCTGTGTGCGGGAGGGGTGGCCGCTTTTTCAGGTGAGCCAAGACCCCAGTGGGATCTGTTCCGACGGGTTTGCGCGGTTATCATTCGGCACGCCATGCAACCTTTGTGGCAAGCAGAAGGTGGCGGTTCATTTTGTGATCGCCCCATCCCGCCACCGTGCCTAAGTAGTGGGCCAGAGGCCTCTTGAACGCTTGCTGCGGTCTCTAGAGATACCGCTCGGACCCCCATACGCTGGAGTGCTTCCTCCTGTCTTGTCTTATTAATGCAATTGTTCAACGCAGTTGCCCAACATAATCTAATACATAAGCAACCATTCGGGTTGTAAGGAGGTTGGTGCGGTGACAGTTTGCGATTGGCGTCTAGTCGGAACCACAATCGATGGATCCATCGACCTCGCTTTCTGCCGATTTCAAAATTTGCGCTCTGACTCCGCTAGTAGTCTATCGACCTGATTGTCTATCTATCAGTCTCACGACCTGAATGTTGGCCTCACTCTCCATATACGTTTCCCACTATCGATCGGTCTCAATATCTGCCGGATTGCAGACCACAGGATCGTTGTGCACCGATGCGGTGAGCAAATCAAGAGAGGCCGCGGAGGAGGAGCATCAGCAGGCGCGGTCAGAACACGATGGAAACAGTCGAACAAGGGCTCCAGGATGAGGCATCTAAGCAAGGGGTCCTTGCACCCCTCCATGACAGGCATGCCCGTCGTGCGATGTTCTTCCTTTGGCTCTGAGGGTCCTCCAGTGTCGGCGAGCTCTACGTGCCGTATGTTCCTGCACTTCTTCGGCTTGAGTACGATTGTAGTCATCATGGCGCCCGGTCCCTATCAGCCGAAGCGGCATGCGACCGACAAAAAGTGGTGACCGAAAACATGCCCGAAATTGCAACCGAAAACGTGGCGGGACCGAGACTGTGACCGAACTTGAAAATCGGAGGTCGGGAGGTGAGATCGCAGTGGCACGGCCGATGATCCTCAGGACGCGTGCTGGCCCAATGTGTGTTCACCCCGTTCCGCCCCACCGGTCGATCATCGCATCGCCTTCGTCGTACTGTCGGCGCGCGGCAGATTCAGCCCGTGCCAGAGTTTCCGTGCGCACGCAAATCTACGTACATTACGGAGGCTTCCATTTCGCAAATTATCGATGCTGAGAACAGCGAGAAAACAAAAATCGTCGTATTGAAGGGCATCAGTGGGCAAACACACGCTGGCGCTGACTCACGTTCTGAAGATCATCGAACCGGAGAGCCCCCCCCCGCCGTGAAGCCTCGGCTTCGGTGTCCTGCTCGCGTCCTGCCTGCCGGCGAGGCGCCCCGCCGCCGCTCTGCCGTCGGGGCGCGGAAGAAGGAACCCTTTTCGTTGGGGAGGGGCTCCGTGTTCCTTCATTGTTTCGCAGCTTGCCTCAGGTTTCCTTTAGGTTTCCGATATGAAATTGAAGTTTATTTTATGGAAAATAGGGGCCTCGTTCCTTACTGGAGAGGCCTGACGGCCGGTGCCGCCGACCCTGATCGAAAGGGTTAGGAGTGGGGTGAGGAAGCGGAGGATGATGACGAGGAGGAGGCGGAGGAGGAGGAGGAGGAGCAGGAGGAGGAGGAGGAGGAGGAGGAGGAGGAAGTGCATCTTTTGTGTGCCCTCGAAGTTCAACTTATGGAAACTAGGGGCCTCGTTCCTTATTTAGGGTTCCTTAGGGCCAACGCCCCGACTGCAGGGCGCTGCGGCTGCCATGGCCGCCGCCCCATCCGCCTGCCCCGGCTCGCGCGCGGTGGCCCGGCGGCGTGCCCCGCCGAGGTGACCCGGCGGTCCACTGTTGAAGGGGCCCTGGGACACACAAATACATACGCACAAATAAAATAATCCCCCATCCTCCTCCTCCAGCTCCTCCTCCTCCTCCTCCTCCTCCTCCTCCTCCTCCTCCTCCTCCTCCTCCTCCTCCCACTCCTAGCCCTTTCGATCAGGGTCGTCGGCACTGGCCGTCAGGCCTCTCCAACACATACACACAAATAAAATGATCCCCCATATTTTCCTGTATTTTCTGGGTTTTTGTCTTCCCCCCCACTTCTCATACTCTCGCATATCTTCCTGGGAGTCGACGATGAATTGTGTCTGTGTGTTTCTTTCCTCCTGAACTGTGGCGTCCCGTCGGTGTCCCGTCGGTGTCCCGTCGGTGTTCCGTCGGCGGTGGGCGGGCGGTGGCCATTGGGTGTCCCGCCCTGCTGCCGACAGTGGGGTTGACAGAGAGAGAGAGATCGGTGCTGAGCTCGCCAGGATGGGACGGACGGTGAGATCCAAGAAGTGGGATTGGCGTGAGGTGGACTGTGAACTTGGGTGTGCGATCGACAGTGAGATCGACAGAGGAGTCGATAGTGAAATTGCTAGTGGGATCGAAAGTGGGATCGATCGCTGAGTCCATTGGTGCTAAGACTGGCCGCGAGGTCGATGGTGGGATCGATCGAGTGAGATCGAAATCGATGACGATACTGACATTACATCGCAGCGCATCATCGTCACCGCGCGTCGAGGCTAACTCGAGGGCGCGTCACCAGCATCGTCATCATCACACCTATAGCATTTGCCAGCAGTTGGTTCTTTCCCCCCCGACCCAAACCTCCTTATCACCCAATGGGTGGTCGTATAGGTCTCTTTGGGTTCGAGCCCCGGGTTTCGGTCAGACTTTGGCGCGTTCAAAAATGCGGGCGCCACTTCGGGTTACACTGGGGTCGATTCTCGGGTGCAGTTTCGGCCACTACACCCCCCCATAGAGACGAGGCTGCGTGAGAGTTAGATTGTGGGCGGGTCGACGTGATCATGGTACTGTCCCCGACTCCCCCATGGCCCTGGTGCTGTCCTCCAGTACTGCCCACGCTTCTCTGCTCGGCCTTGCCCCCGACGCTCGGGCCGAGCGGCCTATCGAACTCGGGCAGTCTGGTTGGGTTGGGACGACGAGGCTCACCAGAGAAGAAAGAGACACCACAACCAGATAGGGGGGCAGGCCACTCCCCAACCCACCTGTACCACATTCCGGGCGCGCCCCCAGAGTGCCGGGAACAGAGTGCCACCAGCTCGGGGGGGGGTCCTTTGGGATGGTGGCGGCGGCGGCGACGCTTCCATCCTGGCAGGCGCGCAGCCGGCTTGCCGTGAAGGCCGTCTTCGACAAGAAGGCCCGGCTGATGGGCCGCAGGACGAGGCAGGGTGCCTTCCAGGACTCCCGCCCTGCTGAAGTGCGGGCGCGCATCAAGAAGCCGTGTGCTTTTCGTCAAGGTATCCTGGGTTTCTTCGCTCCGCACGCTGCGCGGTGACTTCCCGCAGCCGATGAAGAAGCTGCTGCGTTCAGGGTGCTTGCGGTTTCCCCTAAGGCGCACCTCGCGCGCGGGATTTCAGGGTTGGGTTTCTTGCCAGGGTTTCCTGCGGCCGCGCCCGCACTGTAATGGTCATAAGCTGTTCGACGGCGGCCCCGGCAACATTCCATGCCGTGCAGGCGGATGGCGCGTCGCAAGCGGATACTTAGCCCGTCGCTATCCGCTTGCACGGCGTAGAGCCTTGCACGGCTATGCTGTATCCGCCCCCAGAGGAGGAGAGGAGAAGATACGGATGTTGCCACCCCTGCCTCCATTCTAACCTTTTTGGGGGCATCCTGGGAGGCCCTCGTCGCCGCCGCGGCTGGGTCTGGCTCGAAGTTCTGGCCAGAGCGCACCTCGGGAGAGGTCTGGGGAGCAGCGGTATCGGCAACTACCCTGAGATCCTGGCGTCGCAAGTTCGTCGCACTGAGCGACTTCGCCCTGTTTCGGCCTGGGGGCCCTCACTGGTCAAGCCGGCCCAGAAATACCGAGAAAGAGATGATGGGATTCATGTTTGTTTTAGTGTTTTATGTCGATCTCGTGTGTTTCGCGACGTCGGATCTCAGGGTTCCACCGTGCGCCCTGTATCTTTTGATGCTCTTGCGGGAGGTTGGAGGCAGCACTGGCGGCCGAGCAGTCAAGCACAGTCTGGCTCAATCCCTTCCAGGCCTGCTTAGTCGGAATCTCCCCAGACTTCCATCCGAAGCCCCCTAGTCGGGCCCCACATGCGGGGCCCTCCAAAAATACACCACCACCACCACCACCGCCTCCCTCACCCCTCCCTTCCCCAGGAAAGAGACGAAGACGAAGAGGCTGGAGGAGGGGATGGGTGATGTGATGAAGGCGGTGGTGGTGGTGGTGGTGGTGGTGGTGGTGGTGGTGGTGGTGGTGGTGGTGGTCTATTGTGATGGCCTTGCCGCCCGCGCCGCCGACCCTGCAGGCGGGACCTCCCTGGGACCCCCGCTGGCGACCTTCTCAGAGGGGGTGGTCTCCGGGCCCCTCGTCCGCAGGGGGGAGGCCTGAGGGGTCTGGAGCTCCCCCTGTCCGCCGGGGGACCACTCCTCGGTCCCCCTTGCACGCAGCAGGGATTTAGGGGGGGAGAGGGGGGGGGAGGGGGAGGGGTCTTGAGTTCCCCTTGTCCGCACCCTGTCCCCCTGTCCACAGGGGGAGGGGAGGGGAAGGGGGGGGAGCAGTGGGAGAAAACATGAATCCACGGTACAATGGTTCAATTTCCGGGAGATGTGCTCAATCCCCGGACATTTTCCATTATATGTATATATATACACACACAAACATCATCTCCTTCCTTTCCGCATGAGAAATGTTCTGGGGGGCCTGCCCGAGCCCTTCTTGGGCGCCCTGGGGGTCTTCTTGGCCCTGTTGGAGGCCCTCTTGGTCCTATTGGAGGCCTTCTTGGCCTTGTTGGAGGCCCTCCAGGCCCTGTTGGAGGCCCTCTTGGCCCTGTTGGAGGCCCTCTTGGCCCTGTTGGAAGCTTCCTGGAAGTCCTGCAGGCCCTCTTGGGCGTCCTGGATGCCCCCTTGGGCGTCCTGGAGTCCCTTCTAGGGCGTCCTGGAGGCCCTCTTGGGCCTGTTGGAAGCATCTTGAGCGTCCTGGAGGCCTTCTTGGGCGTCTGGAGGCCCTTCTTGGGCGTCTGGAGGCCCTCTTGGGCCTCTTAGGAGCTGTCTTGGGCGTCCTGGATACCTTTCTCGGGCGTCCTGGAGGCCCTCTCGGGCGTCCTGGACTACTACTACTACTACTACTACTACTACTACTACTACTACTACTACCACCACCACCACCACCACCACCACCACAACCACCACCACAACCACCACCACCACCACCACCACCACTACTACTACTACTACTACTACTACTACTACTACTACTACTACCCTGTAACGCCCCTCACGGGGGTAGAAACCAAGCGTCGTGCTGTCTCCTCCTCCACTCGTGTTCTTGCGCCAGACGTCCACCCCTGAGGCTCTCGGAAGTTTCCACAAGGCTCGCAGGTGGTCAGAAAAATGCCCCGAACATCGAAGACTACGTTATTCGAGGTCTCGTTTTCGACTCCGTTCCCAGAGCCCCGACGTGGTGTCTGTTTATCGCGTCGGCGCCCTTGTTGTCGTGAAATTCTCCTCGGATGGCCTCTTTGTGACGCTCCCGAGAGAGGGGAGGAGGGAGGAGGGAGGAGGGAAGGAGGAGGGAGGAGGGAGGAGGACGGATGGGGAGGAGGCGGATCTCGCGCACGGCGCTATCGGAGCCATCGAGGCTACGGATGAGGTAGGAGGAGGAAGGAAGAGGAGGAGGCGGAGGAGGAGGAGAAAGAGGAGGAGAAGGAGGAGGAAGAGGGGGAGGAAGGATTTGAAGCAGGACGGATGAGGAGAAGGATGACGACGACGAGCAGGAGGAGGAGAGGGAATGACGCCCGTCCTGGAGCCTCTTGGTGTCGCCGTGGCTCTCCAAGAGCGTGCTGGGGGTCCTGTGGCCTGTTTGGGGTCTTCGGGGCCTCTTGGGGCTCTTGGAGCCTCCTGGGCCCTCTGGAGCTCCCTGAGTGTAATGCAAAGTGGGTCCTCGGGGCTCTTGAGATCTCGTGGGCTCTCCCTGGGCCGCCATGGGCCCTCCTGGAGCCTCCGTGGGCCCTCTAAGAACTCTCTCGCGGGGGCGGAATGATGAAAACAATTTCACGCATGTGGGCCTTTCCGTTGAGCAGGGGGGCGCGGTGCAGAGTGGGTCCTCCTGGGACCCTCCGGAGGTCTCCTAGGCACTCCCGAGGCCGCCATGGGCCCTCCTGGAGCCTCTGGGGGCCTCTAAGAAGCCTCTCGCGGGGGCTGAAAAATGACGACAGTTTCACGGATGGGAGCCTTTCCGTTGAGAAGGGGAGCGCGGTGAAAGGTAATAAAGTGACGACAGTGTCGCATTTGAGGCCCCAAATCGTCTTTGGGCACCTCGGGCGCGAATCCCGCTCCCGCATAGTACGGCGCGATTTCCCCTCCCCCCGCTGTCCCGCCGGACCCCGGGAGGGTGATTTTTGTGGTTTTCGCTTGTAAGAAACACTTCCCCCCCCCTCTCGACGGTGACGGAGGGCAGGCGGCGGGGGTGGGCGGGTTGGCGGGGTGGCGGGTTGGCTGGGGTTGCGGGGTGGCTGGTTGGGCTGGTTGAGCCGGTTGAGTTGTTTGGGTGGCTGGTTGGTTGGGCTGGCTGGTTGGGCTGGCTAGGGCAATTGGTTTCGACTACTGACTACTACTACTACTACTACTACTACTACTACTACTACTACTACTACTACTACTACTACTACTACTACTACTACTACTACTACTACTACTACTACTACTACTACCTACTACTACTACCTACTACCTACTACCTACTACTACTACTACTACTACTACTACTACTACTACTACTACTACTACTACTACTACTACTAACTACTACTACTACTACTACTACTACTACTACTACTACTACTACTACTACTACTACTACTACTACTACTACTACTACTACTACTACTACTACTACTACTACTACTACTACTACTACTACTAACGACTTCCACCTACTACTACTACGACTACTACTACAACTACTACTACTACTACCAACCACTACTACTACTACTACTACTACTACTACTAACTACTACTACTACTACACTACTACTATCGACTACTACTACACTACTGCTACTACTACTACTACTACTACTACTACTACTACTACTACTACTACTACTACTACTACTACTACTACTACTATTACTACTACTACTACTACTACGTACTACTACTACTACTACTATACTACTACTACTACTACTACTACGACTAACTACTACTACTACTACTACTACTACTACTACTACTACTACTACTACTACTACTACTACTACTACTACTACTACTACTACTACTACTACTACTACTACTACTACTACTACTACTACTACTACTACTACTACTACTACTACTACTACTACTACTACTACTACTACTACTACTACTACTACTACTACTACTACTACTACTACTACTACCACTACTACTACTACTACTACTACTACTACTACGACTACTGCTACTACCATTACTACTACTACTACTACTACTACTACTACTACTACTACTACTACTACTACTACTACTACTACTACTACTACTATTACGCCTACTACTGCTACTACTACTGCTACTACTACTACTACTGCTACTACTACTACTACTTCTACTACTTCCCGGCACTCGGGTGACGCCCCGTTCATTTGTCCTGGAACTTTCGCGGTTTCTCCAAGGGTAATGATAATGTTTCTCAGCTCTCGCATGGACGACGCAGAATTATGTGTAATACGAGCGAGGGCTTCCGGCCACTGCTCATTTCCCTGGTCGGCCGGGGAAAACCGGTGTTTGAACCATCGAACGGGGAACTCGAGCACTGCCCCCCGCCCCCCTCTCTCCCCCCCCCCGCGCCAGGACTCCCGTTATCGCCGCGACTGAAACAATGCTTTCCATGCTCGTCCAGTTTTGTACTCGTCCTGGCTTCGTCGTAGTACAGTCGGACGGAGGTATAAGATCGAGGTCGATTCGGGAAGGGTGCCCTGATGCTCTTCGTATGTATTGGACGTTTTTGTGGATCCTGGGGAGGGTACCCTCGGATGGCCTGCGTGTTTTGGCTGGCGGAGGGTCTCACGTTCCTGAAATGTGTTTTTCTGCCCTGGTCCCGGCTGTAGCCGAGGAGCGCAGGGGAGCTCCCGTTTGGGCGGGGTTGCCCGCCGCAGGTATCCTGGCGGCCGCCGCAAACCCAGGACGCGCGCCCTTGCGCTCGGGCATGGTCTGAGGGGCCCCACGGGGGAAAGGCCAAAGGAGAACCCTCCGCGGCAGGGCCTGTGCGGGGTGCGCGGTTTGCACGCCCACGGGGGCCTTATTGTGCGAGGTTTGCTCCAGAGCTGGCCGCTTGAAGACCGCGGATCAGCAGCAGCATCATCATCATGAGCATCATCATCATCACCACCATCATTCTCTTCATCTTCATCTTCATCTTCATCATCATCATCAGCATCATCATTAGCATCATCGTCAGCGTCACCATCATCATCAGCATCATCATTTTCACTATCGCTATCATGATCATCATCATCGTCAGCATCGTGATCATCATCAGCTTCATCAGTATCACTAGTATCATCAGTACCACCATCATCGCCACCATCATCATCAGTATCATCATAACCACTACCACCATCATCACTAGCATCATCAGCACCATCAGCGTCGACATCATCAACAGCAGCAAAATCATCACCTGGATCATCAGCAACAGCAGCATACTCGTCGTCGTCATCGTCATCTCCATCGTAATCGTCCCCACCATCATCATCACCATGACATCAGCGTGATCAACATCAGCATCAGCAGCAGCATCATCATCATCGTCATCATCACCATCATCGACATCATCGTCAGAATCACCCAAATCTCACATATTGCATTGGATCGTTGTCGTCGCCACGATCGACTCGCCTCCCTCTCCTAACCCCCGACGAGTGAACTGACGAGGGTGGACTGAGGAGAGAAGGGCATGGATGTTGGGTGAAAGAGCGTGGGAGGTAATGCAGTTGGGGCGGTACAGGGATCTGGGAGGGAGGGGGGAGGATTGGAGAGGGGGCGCGAGGTTCAATATGCGCCGCCTTGTTGGTCTGATGGAGGGGGGCGGAGGGAGGGAGATCGGGGTGTTGGGCTGGTAGGTGCAACGTGTTGCCCGCATATCCGCGCAGGATAAGCCTGGAACTACCTGGGGCCACTGCTTCACGGAGGGCTCAGGAGCCTTCCCCCGCACGCTCTACGGTTGCCTTCCTGAGGATCTCATCAGAGGCTAAGTGTGGGAGCATCTGTACAATCGGAGATGTCACAGGCAAATATGGGTGACGATCGAGCCAGAGAGAGAGAGAGAGAAGGAGTTCTTCTTTTTGTGTATATATATAGACAGGTCGAGAGGAGAAGTGAGAGAGAGAGAGAGAGGAACATATAGAGAGGGAGAGAGAGAGAGAGAGAGAAAAAAAAAAAAAGAAAAAAAAAAAGCAAACAAAACCGAAAGAGAGAGAGAGAGAGAGAGATGCACATGTGCTCGTCAAGGACAGAGGGGTAACATCAGAGGGAGCGTGATTATGATAGTGCGGGGGCGGGTTCGGACAGGGTGGTCAGGGACATGATGAACGCAGCACGCGTGACGTGGCTGCCATTTTCCAGATTCGCCTCCATCAGAGCTTTGCCGCTCTCATTCGGCCCGTGGCCAAAAGCAGCGCCCGCCAGCCTGGCACCACTCGTTTCCGCCCTTCAACCTCACCTTGCTTGCCGAGCTGCACGGCGGCACCAGTGAGCTGCAGTCCGGGGCCCCGGCAAGCAGGAGCAGCAGGAGAATGAAGGCGAGGATGAGAAGGAAGGGCAAGAGAAGGATGAGGAGGAGGAGGAGGAGGAGGAGGAGGAGGAGAAGGGGGAGGAAGAGGAAGGGAAGAGGATTGAACCAGCCAGCCACGAATGAGGGTCAAATTGCCTCGAGAAGGAGGGCGAGGAGCGGGGGCAGGATGAGGATGAGGAGTCGGACGAAGATGAGTGGGAGGAGGAGAAGGAGGAGGAGGAGGAGGAGGAGGAGGAGGAAGAGGTGGAGGGGGAGAAGGAGGAGGAGGAGCAGGAGGAGGGGGAGTGGGAGGGCTGGAGATGGTAGTGAGGGAGAGGAGGCGCATGAGGTGGAGGAGGAGAGGGAGGCTGGAGGCGGAAGAGGAAGAGCACGAGGAGGATTACGTGTTCCTTTGTTTCTAATTTGCCATCCTTGCAGCCCGTCGGCACAGAAGTTGCCAGCCGCTGCCCCCTCCTCTTCTCTTTTCTCGCCCTGCCCCCTCCTTCGTCGTCCTGGCCGGTACTCTGCACAGGGGGTGACGAGTGGGAGGAGCAGGGAGGACAGGGGAGGGGGCAGGGGAGGAGGAAGAGCAGGAGGAGGAGGAGGAGGAGGAGGAGGAGGAGGAGGAGGAGGAGTGGCACGGCGTTGAGCCGCTTGGTTGCCATAGCCGTCTGTGGATTGATGCGGACGCTGGCAGGGATGCTTGTCGAACTCCGCCACCTCCAGGACGCTGGAGTGGGCGCTGTGGGGAGGAGCGCGCCAGCCTCGGCCTGATCTGGGCCTCTGGCTCTTCCTGCGCGCGCAGGATATGTAACCCGCACAAGTGATCCTCCCCCCCCGCGGCGAAATTGCAGCCGAGCATTTGATCAAGAAACCTCCTCCTAACATGCTGGACCAGCGCCTCTTTTACCCACTTGCCGGAAAGCTGGCTCAGTTTCATGAGCACATGTGCCCTCTAGTGTTTACAATAGAAATTAGCCAGCCCAGGTTCGTTTTGAGAAATGTTTATGGAGCTGGCACAGAATTCTTACATGCTATTTAGATCATAGTTTCGGCGGTATATGTTTCTCATCCGCGGAAGTGATATCCCGCCCCCGGACCCCTCAGTACGGCATCCCACCAAGATATGGTATGATTCCATCAAGACCCCAGCCGGATTCCACTGACACCTCTATGTGTTTTCAATTTGGCTCGATCGTATCCACTGTTTCTTGACAGTTGTCTGTAGCATGTTTAGATTGGCTCGGGGCTGTCTCAGGGATTTGGGCTGCCTGCGGGGGCGCTTCGTGAAGAGACCGTCTTGAAGCCTCTCTTGGGCTGTCTTAGTCATCTTACTCCCCGCGGAGCTGCTTCGTGAATTACTTTGATGTGGTGCTAACGATATCGCTCGGCAGGTCCCCCCTCGGGAGTGGTAGATTATGATTTAGAGTGCTACGGGTAACGCGAGGGATCGATAGTCGCTTCTCACTGTGCCCGATGCTGGTTGTGACGTTCGAAGATGACAGAACTACATTGCCGATGCTGGTTGTGACGTTCGAATTTTCGGAGCTCCGCGTGGATCTCTTGGTTCGGTGCTGGGATGGAGGACGCAGGGCACCTGGGAGCAGGCTCGCCGGGGGCCTCGTTCGCTTGCCTCCGCGAAGCGGCCGCCCTTGTTCCTTCTGCTGCTGATGCTCCTCGTCTGCACGGACGTTGGCGCGCAAGTTGCCCGCATAGTGTCGCGCGGAAGCGTCGTCTTTTCCAATGTGGCGTGCCGCACTGACGGCCCGCGGAAGGCACCGCGCAAGGCCGATATGTCGTCTCGCGTGGAACGGGCTTCTTGTCGTCGCTCACCTCTCCCCACCCGTGTCTCCGTGCTCCTCATCCTGCCTCGTCCCGTAGCAGAAGTGGCCGCGCCGTGCGACGGGCCTGACGTTACGGGGCGCTCCTGACCTCCAGAAGTCCACGCTGCACCTTCACTTCCTCGTCCTCCTGCTCCTCCTCCTCCTTCCCTTCCAGCCCGTGTCCTCCTCGTCCTCCTTTTCAGATTGCCCTCCTCACCTGGACGAGGAGGAGGAGGAGGAGGAGGCGGCTCAACATGAGGAAGGAGGTGGAGATGGAGTTGGGGGATGGGTCGGAGGATAACGATGATGGTGGGCATGATGACGATCATGAACGGGAGGAGGAGGAGGAGAAGGAGGAGGACGAGGCGGAAGGAAAGGACGATTGAAGAGTGGCGAGGTGGTAGCAGGGAGGGGGGTAACATGGAGCAGGGAGCGAGGGATGGATGGATGGATTGGTGCAGTATAAGGGAAGAAGGGGAAGTGGGAACGAGGGCAAGGGATAGAGGGAAGTGGTGACACGGACGGAAGCTGGAGGGGGAGAGGGGGAGTCAGGGGAGTATGGACGACGGTGGGAGGACGGGAGGGGGAAGGAGGTGCGAAGGATGAGAAGAGGCTCAGTAAGAAGAGGAGGAGGGGTTGGAGGAGGAAAAGGAAGAGTTGGTGGAAATGGAGGGGGAGGACGAAGAAAAGGATGTCGACGACAAGGAAGGGGCGGGAGAAAAGCAAGTAACAGTTTGTTTCTGCTCATAGCGCACGGCGGGATTCGTGGGCAACGAGGTCACGCTTATGGGACGTGCTTGCCAAGCCGAGCACGTTCGAGGTCGGAAGCTACAAGGCAGCGCGCTTCTCTCCTTGTGCTTCCAGCAAGGAGGAGGAGGAGAAGGAGAAACGATGCGAGTTGGTTATTTGCGGGGTTTCTTGAGGTTCCCTTGTCGCCAATGCTGGGTCCACCTCGGAATCCTGGTGAGGGCGATCTCCGAGACAGGTCCGGGGGTCGATGTGAGGGTGAGTACGAAGATCTGCGGGCGTCGTGAAGAGATTGTTGTGGGCGTTTGTTCCTAGATCTGCATTTGAGCGACGCCAAAACATCGGGTCGTCTGCATGGCCATTGGCGCGTAAGCTGCCCGCGTAATGTCGCGCGTAAGCGCCGTCGTTTCCAATGTGGCGTGCCGCGCTGGCGGCCCGCGTAAGCCACCGCGCAAAGACGCTATGCCATCTCGCGTAAGCCCCGTTTCTTTGCGTCGCCCATTTGCATCGGATAGTTTACGGTGCGGAGGCGACGGGGTCGAGAGTTTTGAGGCACGCGTGGACAAGATGTCGCAGTGCTGGAGGCCGGGTCTGGGTGTCACGGTGCTGCTCTCTTGCACACGCGTGGGGTGCGGAAGTGTCAGGGGCAACGGCACGGGGGGGGGCGGGCTCAGCGGGACCCCCGTTCGCCCCTTTCGTCACCGACAGGGGCACGATAGCCCAGCCCGCCCAGGAGCGTGCGAGCTTCGATATCGGATCGGCGGCGGGCCAGTGTGCTGATACCAGGTTTGCGTCGCCCTCCCGGGGGCGACGCGCCCGCCGAGAAATCTTTTAGCGTATGCGCGGTGGCGGGCGCTTTCTGGCGCGGTGGCGGGCGTTTTCCGGCCATACCGCTCGGGAAACGATAGACTGCAAGATGGTTATGTTCGGGCCGGGCGCGCGCCGCCAAGGATGGCAAATCGTACTAGCATGTCATCGTGCGTCCCATCGGAGGGCATCGCTGATCTATCGGCGATGTCTCGCCGATCTCGGGTCGATGTTCGGCCCCCCTGAGCTGGTCCCCCTGTCGCTCACCCTGCGAGGGAGCGCTGGGCGAAGAAGGGCGCACTCACGTCGGGGCTTGGGGTATGGACGGTGAAACAGCATCAAAATTCACAGCACGGACCCACGGATGTCTTTAGGGCATATCCTTGCGTCCTTGCTTCTGCGGCCCGTCCTTCGTGGTTTTCATTGGCCAGACCCTGCGGGGTTTTGGCAGTCCGACGCCCAAACAGTGCCAACTTCGGCGTCCACGGCCCTGGCGCCCTTACCACCCGTCTTTACTATATATATATATATAGATATTCCGACTGTATCCGTTGAAGGCCCTCTGTTTCGTGTTGAAGATTCCGTTTGCCTTCCTTTTGCCTCTCGTTTCCCTCCCCGCTTGGGAGCGCGCAGAGAACAGTTGTGCCGCGCGAGCCTCCTGAGGCCTGGGTCAGGGGCAGTCCGCCCGCGGTCCCGAAGATGTAGCATGGCTCCTTCATGGAAGGGCCGACCAACGCTACAGGTTGACGCCGGTGAGCACACCTGCTCTGCCCCGCCCTGGGTGCAGTCAAGGCCACTTCTGTGTTCGTTGGTGCGTGCTCGTGTGCGGACCGTCCGGCAAGTACTGGTGCGTGTTCGATCGTGGTCCTCGTGCGTCCTTTTTTTGAAGGGGGGCCACAGGCGAACCCTACCCCTACCCCCTACGATTTCGGAGGGGGAGGGTGGGGTTCACTTCGCTCGGGAGCTCCCGAGCGAAGTGAACCCCACCCTCCCCCTCGGAAATCGTGGGGGGTAGGGGTAGGGTTCGCATGTGGCCCCCTATTTCCCTACCTAGGCTCTGTCTAGAAGGGTTCTTACTCGGAAGCTTAAAGGGCCGGGCAGTGGGGCACGCCCCGGGCGGTTCCCCCAGTATCCGCCCCGCGGTTCCCCCCAGTGACGTCACCTTAGCTTAGCATTAGCATAGCGTAGCATAGCATAGCATAACATAGCCAATCATAGCATAGCATAGCATAGCATAGCATAGCGTAGCATATCGCAGCACAGCACAGCACAGCACATCATAGCATAGCATAGCATAACATAGCGCAGTTTAGCATATCATAGCATAGCTTAGCATAGCACAGCGCAGCATGACATAGCATAGCTTAGCATAGCATAGCATAGCGCAGCATAGCATAGCATAGCATAGCATAGCATACCATAGCATAGCATAGCATAGCGCAGCATAGCATGACATAGCATATAATAACATAGCATAGCAACTCATGCTGCTGTCCTAGGGGCTCCAACCTCTAGGTAGGGTCGCACTGGGGTCATTTTGTACGTGCACGCTCGTGGCCCCACCTGCCTCGCTCGGCTGCCCGGCGGCTGCCCGCGCGAGGCCTCGGTCGGTCTCCGAGGGCCCACGTGGGTTCCTCGTGGCCGCGTCGTCCCTGGAGGCTCGCGCGCGCGCCTCTTCGGAGCGCGCTCGTAGCACCATTGGGTGGCAGTTTCGGGGCTTCTGGAGGGCATCTTGGGGGCCTCTTGGGAGCCTCGTGGGGGTCCCTTCGGGCTTCCTGGGGGGCCTCTTGTGGGGGATGAGGCTCCGTGGGGCGGCCCTGGGCCTCCGAGGCGTCGCGGGCGGGTCGCGAGGGTGGTTCGTTGATCGTTGAACGTAAGTCTGCTGTCAGAAACTGGAGCGTAATACACGTTGCCAGTGGCGGGCCGCTTTTCAATCCCACGACTTCTTGAGGGTCGGGGGCGACGTCGGGGCGGTGTGGTGCATACTTCTCCCCCGTTTCCCAAGGGAAACAACGAAACATGTATACACCAGGATCCCGTATACACCCGGATCCGCGTTCCTGTGCGAATGTCAGCGCAGGGTCGGAAAAAGCGTCGGTGCGTAAGGTGTCGGTGCCCTATTTGGGGACTCCCAGATCCCACTCTACCCTAGGCGCCTTCCCACTTCAAGGTCGAGTGGGGCTCCCTCTTCCCTCCTCTTCAGGGGGCGGGCGGAAGCCCAGTCTGCTTCCAACGCCTTCCTACTCCATGTTCCGACCCACTGCTTCCGACCGACGGGCACGTTTCCCCTGGGAGCTCGGCGTCGGGGGCGCGCTTCCAGGGCCTCGCGCTCGATGGCGAGCGGCGAAGAGAATCACCACTCACCAAACCACCCAAACCCAACCCGAAGGCCTCAATTTGACCTCCATTTCCAGTGGGGGGGGGTCGGAGAACATCGAGAAAACACATATGGAACCCGTACCCCCCCCCAACCCGCAATTCGGGTCTTCGGGTTGGGTTGGGGTGGTCTGGTAGGTAGTCAGAGAAATTGAGGTGGCGAGAGCCTTCCAGGGCCCGCGCAGCCAGCTCAGTTGCGGCGTCGGAGGAAAGGAGGAGGGGGGCGGGGATTCACCTCATATCCTCCTCCCTCCTCCTCCTCCTCCTCCTCCTCCTCCTCCTCCTCCTCCTCCTCCCCTCCCCTCCCTCCTCCCTGCCTCCTCCTCCTCCTCCTCCTCCTCCTCCTCCTCCTCCTCTCCTCCTCCTCCTCCTCCTCCTCCTCCTCCCTCCTCCCTCCTCCCTCCTCCCTCCTCCTCCTCCCTCCCTCCTCCCCCTCCTCCCTCCTCCCTCCTCCCTCCTCCCTCCTCCCTCCTCCTCCTCCCTCCTCCTCCTCCTCCCTCCTCCTCCTCCTCCTCCTCCTCCTCCTCCTCCCTTGCCTTCTCACGCCTGGCCCAGCGCCTCTAGAGCCGCATCGGGTATGTGCCTGCCGACCGCGCAGAACAGGAGGCAGGAGGAGAGAGCAAGGAGGAGGGACCCGCCAGGAAGGAGAGAGAGGGAGGAGATGGGTGCGGGAGGGAGGTGGGAGGAGGAGGTAGGATGATGACTGGCCGCGTCCCGCCCTCCTGGAGGCTGCTATGTTGTTTAGACGCGCGTCCCCGAATTCGGCTTGGCTGGGGGGACCTCATTGCTTGTGGAAAGCACCTCGATGCGGCCGGCGGTTTGCGCAGGCGGACCTCGGGGTTTCTTGGCTGTGCTTCCTTACAGAGTGAGGTGCCCCTTGGGGATTTGTTGGCTCTGTTTCCTTGCAAGGCAATGCCCAGGTGCCTTGCTCGTAGTTCGTTGGTTTTTGGGTCGTGGTTCCGAGGTCCTGGTTTCTTTTTCTTTGGTACTGGTTCATTGGTCATCGTTCCTTGGTTCCTTGGTTCAGTGGTCGTGGTTCCATGACTCCTTGGTCTTGGTTCATTGGCTCCTTGGTTCCTTGGTCTTGGTTCCTTGGTGTCTTGGCCGTGGTTCCTGGGTCCTTGGTTCCTTGGTTCCCTGGTCTCGATTCCTTGGTTCCTTGGTCTTGGTGCCCAGGATCCTTGTTTCCTTGGTCTTGGTGCCTCGGCTTCTTAGTCCCTTGGTCCTGGTGCCTTGGCTCTGCTTTCCAAAGAGCGCCAATGGATACCCCGCCGACCGAAAAGGGGGTTGGGGGATGCTCCCCCCCCCTCCTCCCTGTCCCTTTCAAACGGGAGGGAGGTTCGGATTGCCCCCTTCCCTTGGCAAGGTGGGTGGGTGGAGGTGTCGGGGGCCCGCTCCTATACCTTTTCGCCGGGTAGGGTGTTATGGTGGGTTTGGGTGCCAGGATTGGGTTTAGGGTGTTAGGGCATTGTTGCTAGGTTCAGGGTGCTACGTTTATGATGGTGGGGTTCGGGTTAGGGCGGTAGGGCTCGGAATAGGGTGTTCGGGCTAGATTTGGGTAGGGTGTCAGTGTAAGGGTGTTACGTTTATGGCGGTAGGGCTAGGGTGCTACGTTTGGGTGTTAGGGCTAGGGTGGTTTGGGGGCTAGAGGGTAGGGTTCCGAAGGCAGGGGGTCGCAGTGGCCAAAGGGGGGAAGGGGGGAGGGTCAGATTTTCGAGTCCAAGAGGGGGGAGGGGCGGGGGGGGTGTCCAACCCCCCCCCCCACTCTTGAAAGGGTGGGGGGGGGGGCTGGTGGGTCCCGGGACGACGGGCCAGGGGACAGGGGGGGGGCGAGGTTTTTGGACCCGCCCCACCGTTGGGGGAACCAGCGGCGCGCCCATCTTGTTTCCTGACAAGGGCGTCGTGATTTGCGCCGGCTGCCCGCGAGTCTCTTGGTTATGTTTTTTTTTTTTGCAAGGACGTTGCAACACCTGTTTTGCCTACATGGTCAAACCCGCTTAGGCCTCGACCCGCGACCGCGACGTTCTCGCAACCTGCTGCGCTCGTCCAAGGAAATCCTCGCCATAACGTCCCCACGCCCTCGCATCATCTCGTTGGTTTCTTTCTCGACGTTCGTGATTATATGCGTGCTTACATGCTCACACGTTTGCACGCTTACTTATTCGTTTACTTGCTCATGATTACACGTACGTGTTGATTCACTCACATACTCATGCACTTACATTCGCCCTTACTTACATACTTTTGTTTACGTCGGGTGCTTTCTCCTGGTTGGGGTCGTTACTTCCACGAGTGGCGATCACCGCCCTGCGCGCTAATCCAGTACTTTCGGGCTCTTGGTGTTGACGTCTTCCGCCGCTTACCTCCCTACCTCCGTGCACACAGGCGCACGTTGCGAGAGATCCACGCTCGCGATCCCTCGTGCAAGCATCACTTGCCTGGCTGCAGGGCCTTCTCCGCAGCGCACTTGGGCCGCACTGCGCGTGTGGCTCTCTCTCTCTCTGCCCGCACTCCGTCTCGCATCCCGGGCCTCCCCGCAGGTGGAGATACACGAGATGCGGGAGATGCGGATGCTCGGGATGGGCCAGGAGCTGCCGTGCGCAACCGCTGTTGCCGGCCTGCTGGCGTCTCGTGGTTTGCGGGGGGGGCCGGTTGACCGCACAGACGCCGAAGTGAGTTCGTGCGTGCAGGGCAAGTTCGGTGTGCAGGACTTGGTGCGGTCTCGGCGAGTGGGTTCCATAGAACACACATGTTGCGTATCGTGTTGGGTTGGCTGCGGACGCCTCGCCAACCGCAAAGACGAAGTGTCAAAGCTTCATTTGGGTGGCGCCACGCCAACACGGCGCATTTGTGTACATGGCGTATTTCGCTCGCATCGCACGGTTGCGGTAAGCATCTGCGATGGGGTATCAACACGGCGTGACGGATTGGCACATCACAGTAGCATTTGGGCGACGATCATATGCCATGTGGCGGGGGCGAGGAGGAGGCCAGCTTCATGGTCATGTTTCATCCACCCTTGGCGATATGCGCCATCTTTCCGATGTGCCTCGAGACCGCTCATCTACGATTTTTCTGAAATGGGGAGCATCGCGCTCTATGCTGCGTGTTGGCATGATTGCCGTGCGCTGTGGGTGCCGCGCCCACATGCCAATTCATTAATTGCACAAAGAGCGTATGTGGCGTAAGCTATGCCATGTGGCACGCTGTAGCGATGAATGGTTGTCTCTGGACGCAATTGTTGAGCAAAACGTTGCTTCGATAGTGGATTGGCTGGCGTGCCGACAAGTAGAAGCAGCGAGGCAGTGGGAATTTTGCACCGCTGCCGTTTGGCTCAAGCTTCCCTCTCTCTCTCTCTCTCTCTTGGCAGAAAAGCATCACGTCATGGTTGGGCCGTTGTTACACACGGCTCGGCAATCCTGATCGCACAACGCCCACCAAGCGCGGGCAGCGATCAACAAGCAGGGTTGCGGCCCGCGTGCGCCGTGGTTCGGCGCGCTGGCCAGCGCCCCGGACTGCGGTCAGGCCCGCGCCGAGGCGCAGGTCAGATCAGGGGGTGGCGGGTAGCCCTGCACCCTTGCGCCGCGGAGCAGCTGCGCGCTTCGATGGAGGCGCTGAATCAAGGGAGGAGAAACCACCCGGACCCGACAATCGGCGTTTATCAAACGGCCCTGGGCGTTTACCAAATAACCCTGCCCTGTTCGATTCCTATTTCGGGTGCGTTTGCTAACGGTCTCGCTTGTCGGGGTGGTTCTTATGGGGGTGGATTTCTGGCCCTCTACTGAAAGCCCCGCTACAAGCGCAGGATAACGTCGCGCAGCAGCTCCAGCAGGAGCTCCAGCAGGCCAGGCAACCGCCTCTCGTGGAGCCGTCGCCACCTCCGAGAGGGGTGGTCGATACCAGAGCGATCGACAAGCCGGGCGAGTTCGCGGGCGACGTGCCGAAACTCGCGGATAGGAGCTTCAGGATGAAGTCCTACTTCGGCGCCGTGGACCACAAGTACCAGGACAAGTTGATGGAGGCAGAGCAGTCGCAGGTCTCCATTCGGAGTGCAACGATGGAGCCAGAGGTCGCCAGGCTCAGCACGCAGCGAGTTATACTACATCACGTCCGGGTCCGCACTGGATTTGTGCCACAGCGCGGGGGTGAACGAACGGTTTGAAGCGTGGCGCCAGTTCGTGATGGAGTGGGACCCGAAGCTGAGGAGCCGCTTCGTCGGTCTCCGCATGCAGGCAATGACTTATAATCTCACGGGCACACCCCCACCGCTCTCGCAGCTTTCGGGCGCCTCGTGCGCGACTACTAGTGCCGGACCAACAATAATGTCGACGACGACGACAAGAAGATGGGCGTGGCTCTGCTGGGCATGGAGGACGTCAGGGTCAAGGATCATTTCATTCGGAACCGCGCGGACCGCCCAAGATGCGTGAAGAGATCTTGGGTATCACCTGGAGCCAGCAGCACGTCGACTCGCAGCCGACGCCCATGCAGCTTGGAGCCGTCCCAAGGGAAGGCACGGACCCCAAAGGCGGGAAACCGAAAATGAGCAAAGATCCGAAGGGCGCCAGCAAGAAAGGCAAGGACAAGGGAGGCAAGGCCCACGGTGGTAAGTCCCCGAAGGGCGAGAAACAGTTTGTCTACTGTGTACTGCAAAAAGAAGGGCTGCGCGAAGGCCGAGCGCAGGAAGAGACAGCGAGACCTCGCCGCGACGGAGAACAGAAGGGGGCTGCTGGCCGCGACACCAGGAGGACAGAGCGCATCCTCCTTGGGGGTTCCGCCGCCCCCGCCGCCGGTCCAGCCGCCGCCAGGACAGCCACTGTCGGCGCAGTTGCAGAGCCAGCACGCGTCGACCTTCGTCCTCTTGGAGCTCTGCCACGGGCCGTGCCAGGCCGCGACACGGACAGACCCGCCCGTGTGTTGTCAGCGACGCGGACGGACGCGAAGTACCTCATGATCGACACCCGTGCATGGGCGAGCATATTGCCACGAGGCTGCGACCCAGCAGTTGAAGACGATCCGACAGTGGGCCCAGTGCGGCTCGCGACGACGACGGACGACTCGGGTCGTCAGTGAGGAGACGGGAAGCAGCCCCGCTTCGGGCTGCAGGACGGCCGGCAGGTCACGGTGAACGCGGGCGGCCCTACTCCAGCCCAGCAACCAGAGAGCGAACAGAGCCGCCTCGCTTGGCGCAAGAAGGCCCCTCTGGAGGTGCCGCAGCTCGAATGCGACGCGCATCGAGTCATGCATCAGCCGTTCCGCTCGTGGCGCCCCTGTTGCGCGCGCCCACCCACCGCGCCCTGGCGCAACCAAGGGCGAGGCCAGGCGGCCCATGTATTATTTCTTCCAGGCGAGGGCCGTCGACCCGCAGCGGTTAGAGTCCGCTCTCAATTGCCTGCGCGCGCCCAGCGGCGCCGTTTTCTAGCGATGGTGGTCACAGGCGGCGGCCCGCGCGCACTGGCCGTCGTCGTCGAGGCTCTTGGAGACACGGTCCGGCCTCGCGCGACAATTCTCTGCGACCAAGAGATCGCCGTTGAGAAATTGGCCGACAGCGCCCAGGGCGGCCGCGACCGCGAGGCAGCGCTGCTGAGCACCCCGGCGAACTGCGAGGTCGAGAAGCGGCTCAGGACGCTTCGGTCGCGCTTCGAGCAGTGCCACAACCAGACGGTGGACTCGGAAGACAAGATCGCGCCCTCGATGGTCAGGCACGCAGCCTGGTTTCTGACCCGCTGTAAGTTGCAGGCGGACGGGGGGGCGGCCTTCGGGAGGCTTCGCGGGCGTCCATACTGGGGCCATGTCCCAGTGTTCGGGAGGCCCATCCACGACTGGGACCTCCCGACGACCTCGATGACGGGTGGATGCTGGGCGCTTGGCTCCGCGAGAGCTTGGCGTCGGACGAGCGATGCATGGGCTCCGCCGGCGTCGGCGCGCGCCGATGCCGGCGCATCTGGAGGCGCCCGGGGCGCGCGCGCTGGAGCCGGAAGGTTGGGCCCCGTGGTCACCCCATGATCGGCGAGCCTTGGAATCCGAGGGGCGCCAGCGAGGCGCCGACGGAGGCTGCGCGCAGGGGCGCCTACTTCGCGCTGGACACGAAAATCCTGCGCGGCGGCGTTCCATGCAGGGCGCCCGGCCCGCTTCGGCCGCGCGAAGGCGCCTTCGCCCCGCGCGTGCCCAGGAGATCATGGACAGGGGATCGCGTTCCATGCAGGGCGCCCGGCCCGCTTCGGCCGCGCGAAGGCGCCTTCGCCCCGCGCGTGCCCAGGAGATCATGGACAGGGGATCGCAAGCCAAGACGGAGGCCCCAGTTGCGGGTTGCGCCGCGCCAGCGGAGTCGCTGCCCGCAGCAGGGGCCGCGAGCGGATCGGCGGCAGGCGCTGCCAGATCAGCGTCGGCGTCGGCGGCGGGTGGCCCCGCGCCGGCCGCCGGCGGAGTGCCGGCAGGGAGCTCCGGAGGGCCTGCCCCCAAGGAGCCGAGTGGAGATGCGGGTGGATCCGTTCCCCTCCAAATGCTCCCCTGGCTGGTGGCGCCCAGGTGGGCGCGACTACCGACGGCCAGAAGGAGCGCGAGATCTTGGCCGGCATGCAGACCCTCTACGGCGAGGGCCTTCATAACCCCAATTGGACGCAGCCGCAGGGTGCCCTGCCGCGGCTGGGCTGGGCGACTCGGAGTGGCAGATCATCGATTGCGAGCGCGCCAACCGCGACGCCCAGAGCGGCGGGGCGCCAGACATGCAGAAAGAGGTGCGAGTGAGGAGTCCGTGAGCCAGCGAACATGGAGAGGTTCGGCGTCGTTGGGCCGTTCTTTATCGCCGATGCTCGGTCGCGCGGCCCGGAGATCGTCTGCCCCATGTTGCTGGGCGACGAGAAGCCGCCGTGGATGAGATGGCCCGTCAGGCCCAGACTCGCGGCGACGCATGTGAACACCTGCGAAAGGGCGTTGCCCGGGCCGCGCCGCCGATCGGGGCCCCCAGGGCGATCGTGAGCACGGCGGCCACGATGGCCAAATCCAAGGGGGAGCGCGACTGCCTGATCGGGCGATGCGACGTCCGAGCGGCGTTCTCCCGCGTCGCTAGGTCGGGGAAGGTGGTAGTCATTATTGCTAGTGTCTTGGCGCCTCCTGGCGTGGGTTGGCGAGCTCTGAAGGCCGCGCATGGGGCGCGCGAGGCCAGCAAATGCAGGGGCACCGAGGTCGCCGACGCCATGTCGGGGCCGTGCCCATGATGTTCGTTTCCGACAGCGCCAGGTACGCGACGCGCTGCCGCGGCGACGGTTTCTCGACGGCAGGCGCGATTTTCGCCCTCGGCGAGATCGGCTGGGCGTTGACGAAGCATTTCGATGCGAAAATGTTGCCGCGGATTGGACCGCCGGCGCGCGGCGGCGAGGCGGCAGATGGTCGGCGCCTGAGAAGGGCGATCCGCTTGGCACCTGCTAGTGTCGCGCGATTGGCGAATCGCACTCGCGGGCGGGGTCTGCTGACCTTGGCAGAGCCCAATAAGGACTCGAAGGGTTCACCGACGCTGTCGTCTGAGGCGACTGCTTCGGGCAGGCCCGACAGTGGCGACGACTTGGGCGAGGTCTCGACGTGCTTCCAGCGGGGCGCCAGCACCTCGCTGTGCCCGCCCATCGACAGGCCGACCATCCACGTCGCAGGTTATGGCCAGCATTAGCACGCCGAAGGTGTTGCGCGGACTGCAGTTGCAGCGCGCGGCGCATTTCGCGCCCCGGTGCCCGTCGGAGGCGTGGCTTTTCATTGTCAGAAGATGCCCGAGGGCCTGCGCGCGCGCGCGGGCGCGGACTGGGCAGCCGACGAGCTGACGAGGAAGTCAACAAATGCACCGCGCAGCGATGATGGGATTGCGGCGTGGCCGAGCAGGCGCCGATCGCGCTGCCCAGAGGCGAGGCCGAGTTCTAAGGCATCGCGCGCACGTGGGCGATTGGCGGCAGACGAGCCACATCCTGCGTCAGATGGGCCGGGCAAGCGACCTGACCGCGGGGTCAGACAGCGCGGCGGCGCGAGGCATCTGCGCCCTGACGGGATGCGGCAAATCCAGAATTCGGCGATGAAGGAGCTGTGGAGCAGGGGGCGCCGAGGACCAAGGAGCTCGAGCTCGCGATCGCGGGCGCGTCCCTGAAATGGGCCGACCTCGGAAAGGAGGCGCGCGCAGCTGAAAGGCGGGCCTCACTAGTCCAGCAACTTCCGCGTCGCTGCCTGCAAGGGGGGCTGGAGGCGGCGATTGTCCATGTCTTTTGCGCGCGTTGAGCCCGCAGGCGTTTAAGACGCCGCAGGTGTGAAGGAGGCGCGCTCTGGCTGCGTGCCACCGTGGCCCTGTGGCCGCGGAGGGGATTGCGCGCTTCGCCCGGCTGCTGGTCGCGGGCAGCGCCGCGCCGCATCCGGATGATAATGAGTTTGATGCGACGATCGCGGGCAGCGCCGCGCGACATCTTGACGGCGACGCGTTCGACGCAATGGTCGCGAGTAGCACCGCGCCGGCGCAGGCGATCCAGCAGGGCGGCGGCAGCGCCGCCCCTGATCGAGAGGTTCGCGCTGACGCGCGCTTTGGGGCAACCTCGCGGGCCGCGCTGGGCCCGAGGCAGCGGCCAAGAGGGTCGCTGCGACCAGGTGATCGCGGGCAGCCGCGCACCACTGAGCCTCGCCACGCACGCCAGCCGTCGGCGAGACGCTGACTTGGTTGGGCCAAGGAACCCGGGCGGGCGCGCTCCTGAGCGAATGCGCGGACCTGCGGGCAAGGGGCGGGGGCGACTGCTGGAGGTTTTGCATCGCTTGGCTGCTTTCTTGCAAGTGGCGCCCTTTATCTCTTGGACCAAGATGGGCTGTCAGCGATGGGCGGGTGCCGAGCCCACGTGCAAAATTCAATGATTGCACAGGGAGCGCATGTGGTGCAAAATTCTGCCGCGTGGCACGTTGTAGTTGCACGACGCGCCGCTTCGATGGCGGATGGGCTGGCGCGCCGAAAAAAAGAATAAGCAGCGAGGCAGTGGGATCTTTGCACACCGCTGCCGTTTGGCTAAAGCCGTTTTTTGTTTTTCTCTCTCTCTCTCTCTCTCTCTCTTTCTCTCTTTCTCTTTCTCTCTCTCTCTCTCTCCCTCTCTCTCTCTCTCTCGCTCTCTCTCTCTCTCTCTCTCTCCCTAACTCCCTCTATCTTGGCAGGGGAGCGTCGCGTCAGTAGGCCCAGCGAGGGGGGCGAACTGACCACGCGTGTTCATTGCGAGCCTTGGCCCGCGAGATTTGTGTTGCATCTCGTCGGTGTTTTCCTGTTGTCATGTGGAGCCGCGTTGGTTTCAATGTGAAACGTTTCGCGTAAGCCCACCAGCCCATCCAGAAACGATGCCCAGGCGAGTTGCCCTGATCAGGTCCGTGCGGGATGAAGCAATATAAAACATATTGGGAGTCCGTCGTACCCCAAGAGGGGGAGGATGGAGGAAGGACCAGAATAAAATGAGAGGAATATGAGGAATAAGAACACCCAGGAACGAGGTACCCCACAGTATGTCCTCCCGCTGGGAGTTCCTCGCCCTGATCCCCACGGCCCGTCCGCCCCCGCCAGTACGCGCACAACAACCAACCGGTGCACCACCTGCTCTACCTGTTTTCCATGCTTGGCGACCACAACTCGACCGCGCAGCTGGTTCGCCAGGTGTTGTCGCGGGCGTACTCGGTGGACGGCTTCGTAGGACCCGTTTTTTGCAGAGCGGCGACACCACCGAATCGATCGGGGAGGAGGGCGGGATCATAGCACAAGAACGGATGATTGCCCCTCGCGCGCGCTCAGTCCGAGCGGAGACAGTCACGACGTGTCGAGTCAGACAGTTGTGCTTTCGTCGCGAGCAGGATGCTCCGATGGCCCTGAGGCCAGCCAGCACGAATCCCGACATCAAGCGCGGTTACGGCCGTGACGCACTGCGCGGGTCCTTCCATCTCGGTGCCTACGGAGAGGAACGAGAGGCAAATTGCAATCGATCGCGTATGATGTCAGGCGTGACACACGCACTTGGACAAAGGCAGATCCGACTGGATAAATGGCTTGCAGGTGCGATCCTTGACAGGATTGTATACGGAATGCTTCTAGCATGGGTGTCTGCCCGGACGGCGGCATGTTGCAGAAGACATTGCAAATATCGTTCACTGGGAACCCGTGTCGCCGCAGCTCCAACATGAATTCCGTGTAGGCCGTCCGTTCGTTAGTTGGAGTCACGTTTTTGCGACCTCGAGGTATGACGCGACGCGTACTTGTAGATATCACCCAGGTCAAGGTATTAACCGAACCTGTACGGCACAAGGCGGGCAATTGATTGCGAGGGGGAATGTCTCAAGCAGAAATCGGAATTGTGGCTACAGCCGTTTATTGCTGTTTTCAATGTGGATGTCGTTGACGTGCCCAGACCCCAGACGAATCCAAAAACTTGAAATCGTGCCCAGTCCCCTGCGTGTTGATACCAAGTCCAGCTGGTACGATTTTTGCAGCCGCCTGCTCGACACAGCCACTGCGGTGAACAGACGAAATAAACAACAACGAAATCTTCGACATGGTGTACTACAGCCACGATCTGGTCAATGTACATGCCCGGACCTCCCAGACCACATTCTGGCATTGAGGATCCGTGTGCAGCCTTCTTGTGCGAGCGTGCATCATGGCTACTGCAACTGGTTCCGAGAGTTCGTTCCGTCCGAAAACATCACAGCCCTGGTTGGCAACTCGCTCTGAAAACCCATCGCTCATCCGCAGGACGACGTCACCGAGGGTGAAACAGCAGTCCTCCATTTCAAATCGGAAGCCGGGCAAGGGCTGCTAAATCCGTGGCTGCTAAAATCGACATCCGGGAAGTTGTCTTCATCCTTCCGGGAAGAAGCCCGTTGATTGTTTCGCGCGCCGCGCCTCATTCCAGGAAGTTGTTTTTCCTTCCGGGGGGGCCGTTTTAGCAGCCACGCGGTTTTAGCAGCCCTCGCCCAGCTTCCGATCAAATCCGATAGCGTGATTCATTGTGTTGATCCCTCTTCCCGATCCCTCCCGCAGGGGACGAGGACAACGGCGAGATGGGCGCTTGGTACGTCCTGAGCGCCCTCGGGCTTTACGCGCCCGCGACGGGCGTCACCGACGAGTACGTCCTCGGGGCGGTGCCGCTGTTCCCGCAGGTCCGGCGGCGAGCGCAAGTCAGGGGCAACGTTCGAGGGGATAGGCTCAGGCCCAGACCCCCTCGAATCATAGAAAAAACACGACGGGAGGTTTCCCGCTATTGGCGGCCTCTGGGGGCCCTTGCCGCGTCTCGGAACCGTCGAGAGACGACTCCGGACGAAAAACCCGTCCTCGGGAGAGGGGTCGAGACCTATGGGGGTCGACGTTGTGAAGCAATCATGACGTCGCGGGTCCGGGGTCGGGGATGGCTCGACCCTCCACATCGCCCAATGGTCGCCGATAGGGGCCCGACAGTCCACCCCGCCCATGACCGTGCGGATTCGCTGTCGAGGGCCTGTCGCCGATGCATCGGCGGTGTGCCGCCGATTCCGGGGTGACGTTTCCCCCCCTTAGGACCAGTCCCCTAACATCGGGGGCGGAAAAGAGGGGGGTGATGACCAGGGGGGGGTGGATATCATGGCGGGGGCCATGATATCTCCCCAGATTTCATGGTGCCCCTTCCTATTTCATTGCGTCCCTGGCCCCCCCGCTGGGCCGCGCACATGCCGCCCGTCATGATTTGCCCCCCCCCCCCCCCCCCCTCTCTCTTGGACACCCCCCCTCTTGGCCCCTCCCGAGAACAGGGGAGGGCCAGGGCCGGTTTCTGCAGGCGCTCTGGGCGCCCCCCGAGGTGCTCCGCCGCCGCGTCTGTCAGCAGCTGCTTTGGCTTCGGGCTGCGCACGGGCCGCCCCCCTCCCCCTCCCAGGTGCTGGCCTCAGCAGGCGCCCCCCCTCCCCCCCCCCCAGAGGGCTCCAACAGGGGATTTTTGGAGGGAAGGGGTCTTCCACGAGGGGGGCCCCCCAGGGGCCTCGCACCCCCTGTGTGGGCGGGGTTCCGAGGCCCCTGAGGGGCTCTCTGGAAAACCCCCCTCCCCCAAATCAGGAAGGACAACAACGCACAGACACAACGAATCGTCGATTTCCCAGAACATATTAGGAAACTATGGGAAGTGTGGGGGAAGACAGAATCCTAGAAAATAGGGGAAAAGCTGGGGAATCCGGTGATTTGTGTGTACTCCGGATTCCATAACAAAGTGGGGGGGTCACATTCGGGGGGGGGGGTCTAGTTTGAGCTGTCTTGGAGGGTTCGGGGGGGTCTGGGCAAAGGGCCGCCCTTCCATGGATAGTCTGGGGGGTCTCAAACTTCTTGTCTGGGAGGGTTGTGACCCCCTCCTTTCTATTACGAAATCTGGAGTATTCGTTTGCGTGCCCCGGGGCCCCTTCACAAAAAAGCCCCCCTGTGGGAACCCTCCGGCCCCCGAGCAGCCCAGGGCGGCCTCGGCACCCCGGCGCCGCCCCCTGCGGCGCGTGCACGGGGCGCTCCGCGCCTCGGGGCGTGGTGGGGGCGTGCGAGACTCAGGAGGGAAAAAAACACAATGAATCGTCGATTCCCCAGAAAATATGGGAAAATATGGGAAGTGCGGGGGGAAGACAGAAACCCGGAAAATATGAGAAAATATGGGGAATCTTTTTATTTGTGTGTGTGTGTATTTAGTTGTGTGTCCTGGGGTCCCTTCAGAGACCGCCCCAGGGCTTCTCGGGGGCCTCTGGAGGCCAGCCGGGACGCTCCCGGCGATCGCAAGCATGGCATAGGGTCGCGGACGCAGATTTTAATTGAGAGGGAGCCTGCTGGCGAATGATTATCTAACAGCTGGTTCAAACATGTCTGAAACATGTAAAAGCATGGCTGAAACATGTTTAGAACATGCTTCACACAATTTTAAACACACTCTTAATTCAATGATAGGATTGTTAGGGTGTCCATTGTCATGGCATCCACAAGATGATGGGGGCGGGGATTAGCGACGGGTCCCGCTTCCATGGGACATCGTGGACTTCCGCGGCTGAACGAGGCGGCACTGGCTGCATTTTGGGGGGGCGCCTCCCCCGATCCATGGAGTTGGCGACCGCGCGCCAGATCCCTGGATCGCTAATCCATGTTTGCGCGCCGCCGGACGATGGCAGGTTCGCGTCGTGTCGACCGACGGCGGCCCCGCCGCTGGTGTTCAACGTCGAGCGCCGCGGGCCACCCAGAATTGGCCGATGTTGATCGATCTGACGTTTCGGAAGCGGCCGACAGTTCAAGGTTGAAAGATCCCTGCGGTGTCAGGAATCAGATCCAGGGTCGACACGACACGAAGCTGCCGTACTTTGGGCGCTGCTTGCGCGTAGCCCGAAGCCTTCCCATCAGCAGCCCCGCACGGGGGGTCCCAGTGGGCTGGTTTGGAGAGGATCTCGGCTGAGGGCGGTTACTTTGCATCCTCGGGGGACCTCGTCTGCATTGTGAACAACAGTCGTTTCCGAAATCCGACGCGGATGCGCCGCGGATTCGGCAGACGTTTCGACGCGGATTCGGCGCGGACAGCGAGGCGGCGGGACAGACGAGGTTCCCCCCCGAAGCATGCAGAAGACGGGCACGGGCGAAGGGGGCGGACTCCCCGAAGGGGGCCTCCGCGGAGTCATATGGCGCCAACGCCGCAGAGCGGACTCCGTCCGGGAAGCCAAATGGAGAAGCCCAGGCTGTCCAGGAGAATTCCGGTCCGGATTTCGAAGCGAGGTTCGCGCGGATTTTTCTTGGCCGGGAGGAATGGAGACCACCAACAATGCAGGCGAAATTCATATTTTTTTTCGCTCGCCGTTTCGGGGTTTTTGCGTGGACAGGAATCCGCGCGAGAATCCGCTGCAGCACGTCTGCAAGGTCGGTGGTGCAATGACGAGGAGGCCTCTCGGAAGGCTAGGGGGGTGCCTCTGAAGGGGGGGGGGGGCTGCGAGAGGCCGCCTCCCGCAGACGAGTCGTCTCTCCCCCAGTCCCCGAGCCTCCGCCCGCAAAGTCTGGCCGCTCAGAACAAACTCACAAAACAAACAAAACACACAAAACACACAACAAACAACACGAACAACACACAAAAACACACACACACACATACACACACAACAAACACAGAGAACACACACACACACACAAAACACACACACACAAAAAAAAAACACACACACAAACACACACACACACACACCACACACACACACACACACACACACACACACACGCACACACACGACACACTCTGGGATACGCCCCCAGGGGGCTATCCGGACGCACCCCTTATCGGGGGTGGACAGGACCCCCAACAGCGACACGTTTCGATGAGTGGATTGTGCGTTTCCGGTTCTCGAGGGGGCGCCGCGGCCGTTATTTTCCAGGCTTGGACCCCCAACAGTGACACGTTTCGAGAAGTGAATTGTGCGTTTCCGGTTCTCGAGAGGGCGCCGCGGCCGTTCTTTTCCAGGCTTGCGCCCGCCAGGTTTGGGCCCCAGGTAGTTTTCACTAAACCACTTTTTACTAAAGGGAGGTCTGTCCATCCCCGACCCTAGTATCGAAGAGAAGCACCATAAACAGAAAGTTTTGGCGCTCCGAGCGGATCTCTTGGCTCCGCGCTGGGACCCCCCCCCGGCGGCGCCTCCGACGCAGTTTCTGGCGCGCTCCGCGCGCCAGGGAGGGGGGCCCAGCGCAGATCCACGAAATCCGCGGGGGGCGGCAAGAGTCTATGTTTATGCTGTTTTCTTTTCAAGGGGCTATCCAGACGCACCCCTACTATCGAGGACGGACGCCCCCCCATCGTATAGCCTGGGGTTGAGTCCCAAACGGTTGGTCCAATTACCCATTCATTTCCGACAGCGGCCCGCTAACCCACCCAGCAGAGGAACGTACGGTTTTGCTATCGTGGCATGGGTATGGCCGATCCATCGGCGACGCATCGCCGTCTCCAAATCGATGTGTCCCCCTGAGCCAGTCCCCCCCCCAAACATGACCCCTCAACTCTCCAGATGTTGTCTGGACATCTTTCGGGGGACCGGCTTCTCATCCTTTTGATGGCCCGCAGGGCTTGGGAGCTCATTGAATTGCCCAAAATCCCCGTCGCCATTTTTCACAGCGCGAGGATGTCCCTGTCACCACTCCCCTTCCGTCGAGGAAGAACCAACTGCATCAACAGAATGTTTCGGAGCTGCGCGTGGATTTCTCGGATCGGCGCTGGAACCCCCTTGGCGGCCCCTCCAGCGCCGCCCCTGGCGCGCTCCGCGCGCCAGGGAGGCGGGTTCTGGGCTGGTCGAGGAGATCCACGCGGGCCTCCGAAGTTTTCTGTCTCTGCAGCTTTGTCATTCCTCTGCGCTAGCCCTTCCATATGTGGTCCGAGAAAAAGGAGGGGTCGAGGGATCGCCCCGCATCGCCGATGCATCGGCGATGCGTCACGACGTGGAGCCCGAGTGTCTCCACGCCGACGGCGCCGATGCATCGCATCGCCGACGTCGCCGATGCGTCGACGATGCGTCGGCGATGCTTCGGCGATACGGCGCGATCCTCTGGCCCCATCTACTCGGACCCCGTCGACCCAGCTCTCCGACGCAATGTGTTTTTGTGTTCTTTTCAGAAGTCAGAAGTCTCAGCCCCTTCCCAGGGACCAGTTTGTCGTCCTGGGTCATTTTTTGACGGCCGCCAATGCCGGAGAATTCCCCGTGGTGATTTTTTGCCATGGTTCCAGAATGTCATGTTAGAAGGGTACACCTACTCCGTGCGCGCGCCCGCCGGCAGGTGCTGCTGCGGACGCTGGACGTCGGAGAAGAACAATTTGCAGAAACAAGCGCTTGGAGCTCCGCACGGATTTCTTGGATCGGCTCTGGAACACCCGTCCCTAGCGCGCGGCAGCGGCGCCGGAGGCGCCGCCGGGGGGGTCCAGCGCCGATCTGAGAAGCCCGCGCAGAGCCCCAAAAGTCTCCTTCGCTCCTCTGTCAGGGGAGCATGCGGCCGTGATACCGTGGATGTAAACAATTAACGCGAAAATCATTCATAACATTGGATTTCGCCGTTCCGAGGCCGCGAGTTCCAGGTAGGGCAAGATCGGCAGCTGCCCGCGAAAATGTAAACAATGAACGCGAAACACGGAAACACTTTCTGCAACCTGGGGCCGTTCATGCCTAGCTTGCGTTCCATATCTTTGAATGGCGGAATTCCATGTTACGGATGGGTTTCGCGTTTATTATTTACATCCACGATAGCGATACGTTCCCAGATTTCCAGGGCTCCCCGGAAGTCCAAATGTTCCGCGCGGGCTGTAGGAACGATTGGGCACCAACGATGCTCTTGCAAAATGGTCGAGCGCATCCTGAGCAGATCTTATTCTGGCATCCTTCCTCATGGAGGACAAAAAAAATAACCCCTAACCCTGGTGACAGAGTGAAGACGTGGCCTCACTGAGGGCCCCGCCCTTGCATCGAGGGGTAACCAATCTGGGCGGCTTGGTTCGAGACAAGACCCCTTTATCCCGAGTGCTTATTGCCCTCCTAACTTAGGTCGCCTCCCAAAGGGCTAGGGGTCCTTGCATGCCCGATCAATTCCCGCCCTGCTCCAGGACGTGTCCATCGAGGCCCCGTCCGCCCCCGAGGAGTCGCCCCCCGTGCTGCAGGTGCTGTGGGGCAGCAGGCCGCTCCCCGCCGCGGCCGTGCGCTACGAGGCCCTGCGGAAGGGCGGGGTGCTCCGCTGGGTCTCGCCCGGCAACATGCGCGCGGGCGTGGCGATGCCGAGAAGGGAAACCTCTTCCTCCTCCTCCTCCTCCTCCTTTCTTCCTCCTCCTCCTCCCCCCCCTCCTCCTCCTCCTCCTCCTCCTCCTCCTCCTCCTCCTCCCTCCTCCTCCTCCTCCTCCTCCTCCTCCTCCTCCTCCTCCTCCTCCTCCTCCTCTTCTCCTCCTCCCCCTCCTCCTCCTCCTCCTCCTCCTCCTCCTTCCCCTTCTTCTCCTCCTCCTCCTCCTCCTCCTCCTCCTCCTCCTCCTCCTCATCCCCTTTCCCCTCCTCCTCCTCCGATTCCTCCTCCTCCTCCTCCTCCTCCCACCTCTCCCTCCCCCTTCTCCTCCTCCTCCTCCTCCTCCTCCTCCTCGTCCTCGTCCTCGTCCTCGTCGTCCTCCTCCCCTCATCCCCTTCCCCCTCCTCCACCTCCTCCTCCTGGTCCTCCTCCTCCTCCTCCTCCTCCTCCTCCTCCTCCTCCTCCCTTTGTCATCAGCTTGCGCAGGCAGACACTATCATCTCGGGTAAGAGTACCTCTGTTTGTTCTGATCGTCGGCTGCGAGGTCATCTCACCACCCTCTTCCATGCTGCCAGCTTACCTATCAAGGTGGCTCATGGAGTGGGAGATGTGGGTGTCATGACCACTGCAGGCAAGAGTCGTTGCGTTTCTAAGTTGCGCCAGCTGCGCGCTATGGCCAGGCGAAAGGCCCTGCTGGTCCGTTGTCTCACTCGCCTGGTGGGGGGAGCCCGCAAGCTTTACAAACCTGCTGTGTTGGCGGTTCTGGGTCGTGGGGCCATGAAGTTTTAGGGCGTTCCCCCGCTCAGGTCCAGTCGATGCGAGCCCAGGCGGCTACGTGCTCGGGGTGGGGGAGCCTTGGTGCTTGCACTACTACTGTGTTGAGTCTTGTTAGTCCTGCTAAGGATGCCCCCCCAGTTTAGGCTTCGGTATGATTCGCCTCGATCTGGAATCGGCGACCCTTCAAACAAAGAGCTCGAGTCGCACACGGTTGGAAGAAGATTGCTGACAAGTTCGCGTGCACGCAGCACCGATGGCAGGTGGTGCGAGGTCCGATCGCGGCCACGCTGGCGGTGCTTCTCGATTTGAATTGGGATCATGTTTCTCCAGCGTGCTGGCACATTGGTACAGATGTGCTCCGCGTGACGGATGGAGACTTGGTCGGTACTTGCCAAGCTATGTCGTGGAAGGTTGCAGCGGGACACTACATGGGGATGGGAGTGGAAGATGGAGTTGAATTTACCATGGCGCACAGGTTTCTCAGGAGTTTGGAAGAGCAGGGGGGGGGAGTCTGCAGGTATGGTGCGTAACATCGTTATTGGCGTTTTTGGATTGAAGCGAGGCTTCAGGATGCGGGTTACCTCTCGCGCGCTGCTGGAGTTTGTCCCCGCTGCGACGCCTCAGCCGAGACTCCGCTCCATCGATGTTGGGAGTGCATCGCCGACCAATGTCTGCCCGATGCGGTCATGGTTCGCACCAACTCTCTTGCTGATAGGGCTCGTGCCGAACCCCAGCGCACGTGTTTTTGGTTTCATGGCCTTCCGCTCTTGGCTGGCTCCTGCGGGCATCTGCCGCCGCTTGCTTCCTGCGTTTGGGGGTGGGGCCGATCGGCGGGAGGAGTGAAGATCGATGGGGGCGTGCGGGGCATAGACGGATCTGGGGGGAAATCTATTAAGGACTGGCGGCTCCGCCATTATGGTTGGGCGTGTGTCCACCTCGGTCCCACTGGCCCTTTTCGACGCCATCGTCATGGGCACCTTGCCCGCCGTGAAGCAGTCCTCCCCGCGAGCGGAGCCGCATGCCTTGATTGTGTTGGCCAGCTGTACGGCTGCCCACCGCAGAGTGTACGGTGGTTTCCCGAGAGTGGTTCAAAAGGAGTGCGTCTCCCTCTGCCGGCCAAACCTCGTTCGTCGATGTCGCAGTTGTGGGCCAAGTCTCATGATGTTACGTTGTCCCGCGGGGCTTCGACCCAAGTGTTTTGGACGAAATCACATCCCACCCAGGCCCAACGCCAAAACATGCTTTTGAGCGACGTGGAAGATTAATTGAATCAGCATGATGATTTGTTTGCGGACGCCGCAGCTTTGCGTGCCCAGGTACCCGTGGATTTAGGATCAGACCCGCAGGGCCAATAAACTGGCGTCCGATGTGTTGTCGCGTTTGTTGGCGATCCAGCGGGAGATCCTTTTCACTGGGGAGCGGGAGCGGGCTGAGCGCGTTCCCAGAGGATGCCGTGGCCAACAAACTAGCGTAGTCGAGCGGTTGTGTAGAATGCGAGACTTTGGGCATGAACCTCAGTTGCGGAGTGCGGTCGTTGAGAGTTCTATGCGCTTCAGAGGTTCCCCATTGAGAGGGAAGTTGGCGGATGTTTGGCCTGACCCTTGCAAGCCACGCTGTCCTGTGCAGCAGAAGCGCCAGAGCTTGCCCCCGAGGCCCCCTGCCGACCCGAGGGGGATGGACGACCCCGTCCCAGATGACCCTGCGGCAGTGCCATGCGGAGGGAGGCTCTGGACCGTCCGTTGGCCGAGTTCTGCGATGCGTCCCATCAGCTTGCAGTGCTGAGAGAGGTGTTGTTTTGTGAGGTCTGTGGCGGCTTCTCTGCACAGCCAATCCCCCTTCGGACCCTCTCCGGGCCCTGCGGGAGGCCTCCATCTGCAGGTCGCGAGGTGCTGTCGCGGCTCTCTGGAGGGCTGCCCCCGTCGGGCACCTCTTTTCCCTGATCTGTGAGTTGTTTCCTGAGCGGCCTCCCTAGAGGAGGACGACGCTTTAGATAGAATTAGAAGTAGAATTCGAATTCGAATCCCCTCCTCCTCCTCCTCCTCCTCCTCCTCCTCCTGCTCCTGCTCCTGCTCCTCCTCCTCCTCCTTCTCCCTCTCCTCTTCCCTCCTCTTCCTCCCTCTCATCCCTCTTCTCTCTCCTTATCCTCCCTCCTCCACAAGCACACGATATGAATACTACTCTCCTTTCGCCCCTGGCTCTGTCTGAAGAGTCCCGTCCTCTCCGCGTATTTTTTGACAGGATGTCATTGTATGTGTTGATTGGTTTCCTGGATCGTTTTTCAGTCCGGTCGTTTCTGGTTGCTCCAAGATGGCGTTCCCGCTGCAGCGCAGCCCTCATGTCCGCGCCTCGGTCATTCAAATTCGTCCTCCCGCTGCAACCTTAGCCTTGTTCTCGCGCCTCCGCACGGCACTGGGCATTCGAAAGCGCCCACATCGGGCAGGCACGGTTGCGGAGGACATGGAGCCGGCATTCCTGACAGGCTGTGTCCTCTCGTCGACGGGCCCCTTACCCTCCAAGCCATGCGACGGGCGTCGTCGTACGGCGCCATGCCGCGGCATGCAACGTGATGTAGTGTTGTGCACCGCTGTGCGATGCCATGCTTGACGTCGCTTTGCTTTGCTCTGCGATGCAATACTTCATTCCGCAATGCCACGCCATGCTATGACATGCTATGCTCCGCCGTGCTCTTCTACGCCATGGTTGTCCGTCCATCGCGTACCCTCATGGGATCATTGCCCTGCTCGACATCCGCGTTTGCGAATAAATCGGGGATTCACGCCATCATAAGGGATGAGAGGGAGGGTAGGACGTCATGCTAGCGCACCTAGCTTAACCCCCTTCCCCCCATCCACCCTCTCCTCCCTCCTCCTCGCCCTCCCTCTCCTCCTCCTCCTCCTCCTCCTCCTCCTCCTCCTCCTCCTCCTCCTCGCCGTCCCTCTCCTCCTCCCTCCCTCCCCCTCCTCCTCCTCCTCCTCTTCCTCATCGTCCCTGTCGCACCCCGAGACGGGTCGGTAGGGCGGGCTAGGCGTTTCGCCTGATGCTTCCCCATTACTTATGATCCTGAACTTTGAAATTGGCAACAGCTTCAGTGATGGAGAACGGGGGGGGTTCAAAATGTGGCTCTCGCTTGAGCGCCCCGCACATTCGTCTTAATAGTTTGCACGAGTGTGGCGGATTAAGGGCGGATGGTTTTCCAAGTGTGGTTTTCGCTTTAGCGCCGCGCATTTTCGCTTTAAGAGTTTGCAAGAAGGTCACGGATGAAGGGTGGGTGGTGTTCAACATTTGGTTATCGTTTTTGCGCCGCGCACATTCGTCCTAAACGTTTGCAAAGGTTTCATCAATGGAGGGCGAGTGGTTTTCAAAATGTCGCTCGCGCTTCAGCGCCGCACACAATCGTTTTAAACGGCTGCAAGTGTGTCACGTTTGGAGGGCGGGTAGTTTTCAAAATGTGGTTCTCGCTTAAACGGCGTCGCGCACATTCTTGTTTAAAAGGTCCGCAAGAGTTTCAATCGGTCTCATGGTCCACGTCCCAGAAATATGTTTTGCAAGACGTTGTACCGTCAGGGCACGACAGTCACGTTGATTCACGGCGCTGGCGTCCCAGAACTTGTGTCTTGGTACGAATTAGTCTGCAGCAGTACCGTTGATTCGCGGCGTTGTCAGACACTTGAAAAAAGGCAAAGCTGCAGATCGGACTGGCGTGGTGGCTGAAATGTTTAAAGCTGGCGGGCCGTATCTCAAAGAAGTGTTAGCGAACATTTTCACGAGTATTCTTGTGCGCGGAGATGAGCCACCAGGGTCGTGGAGACACGCCTGCGTCAAGGCAATGTTCAAGAAAGGGGATCCGAGGTTTCCTGGAAATTACCGTCACATTCCCATTCTTTCCATATTGTACAAGCTCTTCGCCACGGTGCTGAACGAGCGACTCGCGAAATTTCTCGACGCGAAGCAGTCTGTGGACCAAGCTGGGTTTCGTAAGGGCTTCGGGTGCGATGATCATTTGGTAGCCCTTACGCTCATCCACGAGAAGGCCAGGGAGTACAATTTGAAGCTTTGGGTCGCTGCCGTTGACTTCGAAAAAAACATTCGACACCGTGAGCCATTCTGCTATCTGGCATTCTATGCGCCAGCAAGGGGTTCCGGAGACATACGTGCAAGTGTTGCGCCGGCTGTATGCAGGACAAACAGGCCAGGTGGTATATGATCGGGAGAGCC